TTATTCCGTTTGTATTTTTTTTTTGTAAAACAATTTGTATTGGATCACATTCTAGTTAATATAATTTACAAATCTTAATTTAAATTTTGATTTAAAAGAAAAAAAGTTAGCCTATTTGAAATGTGATCTGTCTCCGATTTCGATACTTCTTTAGAGAAATCTAAAACAATAGTAACTGCTTAGAAGTTTATAAATCTATTAGTTCCATTATAGTCTATAAAAATAATTTAAATTTTAAATTTCGAAAAGCTTTTTCACTTCCATTTTATTCCTTTCTACTCTACGTCCTAAGTTTAATTGCATCCTAATAAAACGTGTATCAAAATCCTCAGGAATATTAGAAGTGGATGTGACGTTCGATGACGATGATACCATAAAAAAATGTATGAAGGTTTCAGAACACGACAAATTTATTCCAGCAAAGTCGTTTTCTATGTCGCATCTGCCGGATCTACAGAAGAAAGGAACTGTTTTTAATTTGGTTAAACATCAGATGGACTTGACGGTCGCTATCAAAGCCCGGGGGGTGAGTAAGGATAGGCCGGACTTGTACCCGGGCACGGACTTTGATTACCCGGGGTGCAAGGTGAAAGGTACATCTGTCTCAAGAAGCGGAAGCGGTTTTGTGTGTAGGGTCGTTCGACATAACGCCGTTGTCCCTCTATCGGAAGTTAAAAGTGTAAACATAAATCAGTTATGCTTCAATCAGTCAGAAGGTAAACAGTTAAACGGCACTCAGTCGAATATCAATATATCAAACCACAATCCGTCGAATAAAACTCAGCAGAACGCTAACCTTGCGAGCATGTCAAACATGAATCATACACCTATCCAATACTGCCGATGCGAAGAATGTAAAAACTCCGATAACCCGCGAACTGACTGGGGTGAAATCAACGTCTTCACGAATGTCCATGTCGTCTACGACGCCAGCGAGGCGGAACACACGACTTGCAGGTTCTTCTACGACGCCAAAGACAGTCGGAAAATCGAACTGAAAGCTGAGAAAATCGTGCGGTATAACGTTAAGAAAGACTGGTGTCGGTTGAACTGTCTGACGCACGATACAACACTTCTAAATAAACTTCAAGAAACCCTTGACAAATTCAACCACTGTTGTGAAGTTATATGGAACTACCACCAAAACAAACACATCCCGTCGAATTTCGTGGCCATTGTCTCGCATCCTCACGGAGAAGCTAAACAAGTTTCCTTTGGTCGATGGCAGGATAAAAACAGGGACGGGAAATACGGAAACCACGAATATCTTTACGACGCCGCAACATGCGCTGGTAGCAGCGGCGCCTATGTTTACATTTACGGTGGTGGGATTTACTCTTATGATTATTTACACAAAGGCTACTCTTCTGATGTAAAGCTAGGCTTCAGTACTAGAGGGTGGGAGTCTTTGTAAACTAGCCTTACAGTCAGAGGAACGCCAGTGTTCTAATGCACTGTTGGGAGCAGTGTTTCTTCCAGACTTTTTTCTCCGGGGGGGGGGGGGGGGCACTTGAAATTTTCGGTGGGGCGGTAGACTTTTTTCGGGGGGGGGGACACTGTTAAAAGTATATATTTTCTATATAAATTATATAAATTTCATTTCGTTCGGGGGGGGGGGGGGGGGGGGGCGGTAAAAAAATTTCGGTGGGGGGGGGGGGGGGGAAGCCCCCCCCTGAAGAGATGCCTGGAAGAAACTCTGGTTGGGAGGTTTCTACTGAGAATGGAGCTGTTGTTTTCTTGATCTGAATACACGCAGAACTTTCGATAACGGATGAGAAACAAAAAAGACCCAGGGATCCTGAAAGGCGACAAATAAATGTTTCAGAAATTTCTTCAAGATCTGAGAGAAAGAAAAGGTCACAGAAAAAAAAAACAGTTACAGTGAATAAAAACAATTATACAGAGAAATAAAAAAAATATAGAGAAATAAAAACAGTTACATAGAAAAAAAATTCATAGAGAAGAAGAAAACAGGTACGGAGAAAGAAATTCACTAAGAAATAAAAGCGATAACAGAAAAAAAAGATTCTAACAAGACATGAGAGAAACCTCTCAAACTTCAAAAATTAAATAAAGAAAAAAAGATTAAGTGAATGCTTTTAAGATAGGTTTCATGGACAACTTCAAATACCTCCTGTTTACGCCACTGTCTCTAAGTGTTCGAAGGAATTATTTGAAGTATTTTGAAATTGGATCTGAGGCAGCTTTACCAAAGCACTCGCTGTATGTTCAAATACTGGTAATGAGAAAATAGCTTTATTGGAAATTTGTTTAATCCGCCCCGCCAGTCTGGACGATAACTTGATTATTGATTTTTTTTTTAAATTTTTGATATACATTTCATAATTGGTTACAATTTCTAAAATGATTGTTTCTTAAACAGCAAATTTAAAACAAAAATTTATTTTTAACAAAATGTTTTAATGTTTATGGTTTGTTGATAATATTTTTGAAAAAAAAACATGTTGATAGTGCGATTGAAAAGGTGGGAAAAAATAAGTTGTATTAACGAAAAACATTGATATTAAAGAGAACGATATTCAAAATGCCGACTTCACATACACTGTGCCATCATCATTTTTTATTTCACATTTTACAGCATTTGTTGCTATTTAAAATCTATTTTACAATTTTTTTACAAGCTATTTTTTTTTGTGTCGGTAAAAACGTGTTTTGCCCCTTCTACAAGAACGGAGTTTCTTTCATGATGAGTAGCATGCCCAAAAACTCAATGGACGAAATAGATAAAAATAATTAAAAAAAAAGATATGTTTTAAAGTTGCCCCTCCCCCACTCCCAGAGCACGTATATCTTCCCTACCTCCCATTGACAAAAGAGAATAATATATATATATATATATATATATATATATATATATATATATATATATATATATATATATATATATATATATATATATATATATATATATATATATATATATATATATATATATATATATATATATATATGCGTGTGTGTGTGTGTGTATAAATATATCTGTATATTCTAATAAAATACTTAACCCCCCCCCCCCCCACCCCACTACTTCTAGATAATGTTCACAGCCAACCCCATGAAAAAAGTAAAAAACATGAACGATTTTATTTTACTGACCCCCCCCCCCCCCTCCATCCAATGCCTAAATTTCAAGTGCCCTTCTCCCACAGACTACCGAAGGAGCAATATGTCTGGAAGAAAGATGATGTCATAGATTGTTCACAATTCCTTCATTCATGTGTTTAGTCTTGTTACAATTCTATTTGTTATTAGGTTTATATTAACAAATGCAACTCCACACATTGTCATGAAAGATTTATTTGGCAGGAAAATGATTTGTTATTTTTGTTATTTACTGACTTTTTATTTTACCATTTTTCGTGTAAGCAGCATTTTCCTCAATTCATCTCACCACAATGACCAGGTTCATTGCATTATGTCTTTCATTTACATTTTACAAGAAAAATAAACCGGGAGTGATCTCCCCTAAACTTTCTCGAATATTCTTATATAAAATAACAGGGGATGGGAACTCGGGCTATAGACATGATTTTTAATCCATTTTAAATACTTAAAGTTTTAAAAATAGAATAAAATCTCGTAGTCAAATTAATTGCACACCAAGTGAAAGCCAAATAAAAAAGCGCATAATAGTGCGCAATATTATTAGTACTTTTAAAATTTACATTAGTTTTTTGAGAAATCGGAAGTAGCGTAAAGTACTACTTCCAGTCAACGGAAATTACTCAAAATTTAACAGAAGGTAGAGAATTAGATCTTTTACTTACATGTGAAATTCCATTTATCTATCTGAAATAGTACTCAAGTTATAGGCTTTTGAAAAATTCAAAGCAGGAAAAGTACCACTTCCGGTTATCGGAAATCGCTCAAAAGTTGATACGGATCTACGATTTTGATAAAATACTTATATATGAAATTTCATCAACCTAGCTGTAACGGTACTCAAGTTATCGTGTTTACACAAGGACACACACACAGACAGACAGACAGACACACAGACAGACACACAGACATACGGACAAGATTGAAAAATTATGTTTTTCCGTATCAGTGAGGTGTAAAACGTCGAGATTTGTAAAAATCTCGATTTTTTTTTTTTGCACGATTACAAGACTTTCTCTATACTTCGTATATACGAGAAAGTAAAAAGGTTTAATAACAAGATTTTATGTAATAATGCACTAAAAAGGAGAAAATAAATTATACACTACTATTTAAATAACTATAATGAAAAGCGTGGGTCTCTTCCTAAATATTAGCAAAGGTATCCAATAGATACTAAAGTGACCTACGCTTTTCTTTATAGTTATTTAAATAGTAGTGTGTAATTTATTTTCTCCTTTTTAGTGCATTATTACATAAAAGCTTGTTATTAAAACGTTTTTATGAAATTAATTTTTTTAGTACTTTACATGTTTTATTTACATTAGATTTACATGACTAAAAACCATTCCGCGCCTATTAAACGCGATGACGCGTGTCTAATAGCGCGGAATTTTTTGATGAGACAGCCTACTAATAATTTGGATAACATTTTAATTAATTCGAAAAAAATTAAGTAGGCATCCAATTGAGTCAAATTTAATGTCATGTTGCATTGTCTTTATGTCTTTACCCACGTTCCAACTACGAACCGTATCTGTCAGTTAGAAGTGCCAGTAATTTTGCTCGGGCGTTTCGATCTAGACGGCCGACTGACGGACGACAGAGGAAGTGAGTTAAATATAAACTTTTAAAAAGTGTGTATTCCCGTAGAGCGAAAATAGAAGTTTTCAATGGGGAAGTGTAAGTTTCAAATTCATGCTTTATATAGCACCAAATAGTTTCGGGATTTTGTGAAATTATGTTTGTCACCTTTATTTGTAGAGACATACGTGGCAAGTCTTTACAGCCGAGATTTTTCAATCAAACTGTGAGTATGTATCAATTACTTAATGAATCTGAGTGTTTGTTTGAACTATTAACAGAGTGTTTATGTAATGGTGGTTCAAAGTAACATCAAACTTCTAAACACGATGAATGTAGTAAATATTCAAAGTGTTGTGAAAATAGGTAAATTTAAATTAAATTGGTGTGTTGTGTTGTTTATGTATGTCTTCAGTAGTTAATGGATATTATGATTTTTGTTTTTATCATAGAATTGCGTCGGAATAAATAATTGTGTTCCTAATAAGCGAAAAAGTATAATAAAGCATAAAAAGAATACTTTATAAAGGAAACATTAATATCTTTTTTGAGAAATCGGAAATAGCGTAAAGTCAAACTTCCGTTCATTGGATACCACTTACGTACCTATGTATACAAATTTGTTTCGCTAACTGAATCTATGCTCTAGTTATTAGGTTTTTTAGTAATTTTATTGATCATAAAATTAAAGAACCGATTTCTTTTATCGGAAGAACTCAATAACTAATTGTGATCTAAATATAATATTTTCTGCTTATAAATGCAATTTCGTTTCAATCCTAATATATAAAACGCCATGTGCGCTCTTCTCTCTCTCTCTCTCTCTCTCTCTCTCTCTCTGTCTGTCCGCAAAATATTTTCGCCGGACATCACGTCAGAAACGGCAGCGATATATGGAGAACTTTATACGGACTTTCGTTGAAAATAATATGTTAGATGTTTTAAATGTATAACCACAATTTTATTTAAAGATGAAAAATAAAAATTGAAGGCGTATTCGAATGTAGAGAAACAGTATTATTTATTGTCACAGACTGTATTATTATGTATCCTTATTATATTGTGTTTTGCATGAATGAAGAGTACCTGGCTAGCGGAAGGACTGTCTGAGCGATCGTCATGTGTTTTTCCGTGTTTTGGGTGAGATCGCTCATTGACGTAAGGGGAGAGAAAGTTGTGAATAAAAGAGAGAGCGAAAGGTGAACGGTTGTGGTGTGCTAGAACTTGAACCTGAGGACTGTGGCTGTGAATGTAGGATGTTACTACGACACTTTGTTTCTTGACTGTGATTGTACTTATACCAGTTGTGACCATGGATTTACTATGGATCTATTAATTCTCTGTACAAAGTGTAAATAAAGTTATTGTTTCACAACTACTGTTGCTCGTATGAGTATATTGAAGAACCCACAATAACAACAAAGAATTCATGTTGTTACATATGGTGTCAGAAGTGGAGGCAATAAAGTGATGTTGCTACATTGTATTACTGTTACTTATGATGTCACAAGTGGTTGAAGAATTGGTGCTACATATGTCAGAAATGGAGATATTACAGTCTGTGGTCTTCCACTGTTTACCAAGTACGTCAAGTTCTTGAAAGTCATCTATCTACACTCAAGTCAGAAGGGTTGCTGTAGTCAAGTCAGACGTCTTGTTCAAGTCATCAACGTGATAATTTTTATCACCTTATTTCGATATTGTCTCACCAATGTCGAGTAAATATCGTCTGTGTGTTTTTTCTGTTTGGATTTAGCCGATCAAGTCTTAGTGTTTCTTTTCTACTGTTTGGATTTAGCTGTTCAAGTTTTTTCTATATGGATTAGCTGTTCAAGTTTTTCTACTGTTTGGATTTAGCAGATCAAGTTTATTTTTGTTACTGTTCCTAAAGATGTCTTATCTAAAACTGGACAAATTTCTACTCTGTAACAGGCTACTAGAACTATTTTGAATTTTTTTCAACTTTTTGGAATCAACAAAGTGAACTATTTTTGTACTATATATGTACTATGAACTTTTCTTGGATTACTAGATGTCTCTAATCAACTGAACAAAGCCAGAATACAAGAAAGGGTATTGTAAATTAATTAACATTTATCTATTGTCAACTAATGAATTTATATTTTATGTCATAGAAAATATATCAAAATGTTATGTTTTGAAGAATATCTAGCACTAGCGAGGGCGCAAGGCATTAAGAAGATGAAGAAGCAGATAGCCTGGGCAAACACTCGATTTGACCGAGACATAGAAAAAGCATTAGAAGCATGGGACGAAGAAAATGAACAACCCAGACTAGCTCATGGAAAAGTAATAAGAGAATTAGATGGTGAGACAGAAATAGTGCGTAATAGATCAAGAGCTATTACAGAGGTGCAAAAAGAAGAAGAAATGTCAGATGGAGATAAAGTAGAGGAGACTGTACAATCAAAAGGAAAGCGGAAAAAAAGAAACAGAAAACAGAGAGCAGATAAAAGGGCTGAAACTTTGGAAAAACAAGTAGGCCTACATGAACTAGAATATAAACAAGAACTATTAGAAATGAAAGCTATAACAGACACAAATGAACCAAAATTAGAAAGTGAACAGACAGAATTTAAAGCAGAACTTGAAGAAGTAAATATTGGCAACCTTTGGAATGAAGAACTAAGTAACATAGTCCAGGAAGAATTGAAACCCAAGGATAAAACAGAGGTTGAACTTAATAATGATTTAAAGGTGACAGATACATTAGAATGTCTTAAGATCGACTCTTTATTGACTCAAACGCAGGTACACGAGAATATTATTGAAAGGTGTATCACAAGTCCATCAGAGAATGGTAGTCAAAATGATTTAATAAGCCCATCAGTTAATGGCAGTGATGATTTAATAAGTCCATCGGAGAATGGCAGGAATCATGATAAACTAATGATGATTAATGAATCAGTGAACTTAATAAGCCACAATGAAGAGAACGTACCTATTGAAGATTTACTTCGAAAATTGGAGTCAAACTATAAAGAAGATATACTAGAACTCAAGAATAAATTTAACAAAGAAATGGAGAAATTAACACAGAAATTTATGTGTGAATTAGAATCAATAAAGAAGCACAAGGAAGTTAAGAAAGATGAAACAGTAACTAGAAACTACAATGTCATTGGTGCACAGAATGAAAGTAAAAGAAATTTAGCAAACTATGAATACAGTCAACATGTTAATAAGAATGTCATTAATGTCATTAATGCACAGAATGAAAGAAAAAGAAATTTAGCAAACTATGAAAACAGTCACCATGTTTATAAGAAGCCAAAATCTAGATGTTTTTACTGCGGAAAAACAGGTCATTACCAAAATCAATGTTGGCATAGATTGGCAAATCAGAGAAGAAACAATTATGTACACAGAAAGTCATGTGAGAAATACTGTAATTTAAGAAATAATGTATCAAGTTCAATTCAGAATAACAAAAGTGTGAATAGGTATACTAATGGAAGTTACCGACGCAACACATATTATGAGAGGCCAAAGCAATGCCATAATATTTATATTGAGTTGGTTGATGAACCAAACGAACGTACACAAAGTAAGATAACTACTGACGTTGTTCAGAAAGCAGAAGAGAATATTAAAACAAATGAAGTAACACAAGTTTCACGAAGTCTAGGAAATCATTATGGTAGCAAAGCTAAAAGCTACAATTTGAGGGAGAGATGGCATACAGGTCATCGTCAACTGCACGAGAACGATTACTCATGCTATAGAGGATGCTAAGATTAAATTATCAATTGACAGTTTATTAATATTATACAGTCTGTAACTGTAATATATAAATATCAAACAATTTGTATCAGTAAATATAAATTATATAAATTGTGTAATATTTCAAAAGAATGAAAACTGTATTATGTTAAACCTATTCTATACTATTAATTAACAGTGAATAAAGTAAATCAAGTAAAAGTTAGAGACTATTTATTCCGCATAACAATAAGACGGAAGTCTCAATGATGAATTGTATCAGTCGATACCTGTGAAAGGCAAGAATGTTGTGTTGTGACCTAGATATGACTGAAATGGGTCGACTAGGGGAGACAACAAAGTATATTACTCATGCGTGGTAATAACATACCTTGATGATAAGGAAGTTTTTTTACTACATAGGATATAGTTATTTAAATTATGAGTTGAATTAAGTCTTTGATAATTTCAACTATGTATTATGTTTGGTAATAAGGTCATGTACCAGACTCGTTTGGTAATTTATTAAACTCATTTGTCTTGTTTATACTACAGTTATTGGGTAATTGAAATATTTTTTCCTCCTATGTGAATGTATATTGATACATTAAATATTAAATATAATGCTTGTACATTTAAAGTTTTTGTTCAAAACACTGACATATTTTAATTATCACTGATATAGTCACTACATACTGTTGTATTTGTATGCACTATACATTTATGACTACAAGTGCTTAGTCTAAAATGAATATATTTTACTCTACTTTGAGTTGTACACAATTTTTTGTTGTCTGGCACATGATCCTGCCCTACCAATACTGTATTTATAAATTTTGTTGTCTGGCACATGATCCTGCCCTACTAATATTGTATTTATAAATTTTGTTACACAAAATTTTATTCGAAGGGGGGACGTGTCACAGACTGTATTATTATGTATCCTTATTATATTGTGTTTTGCATGAATGAAGAGTACCTGGCTAGCGGAAGGACTGTCTGAGCGATCGTCATGTGTTTTTCCGTGTTTTGGGTGAGATCGCTCATTGACGTAAGGGGAGAGAAAGTTGTGAATAAAAGAGAGAGCGAAAGGTGAACGGTTGTGGTGTGCTAGAACTTGAACCTGAGGACTGTGGCTGTGAATGTAGGATGTTACTACGACACTTTGTTTCTTGACTGTGATTGTACTTATACCAGTTGTGACCATGGATTTACTATGGATCTATTAATTCTCTGTACAAAGTGTAAATAAAGTTATTGTTTCACAACTACTGTTGCTCGTATGAGTATATTGAAGAACCCACAATAACAACAAAGAATTCATGTTGTTACATTTATGCAACCGGAAAAGCATTAATATATGTGAAAAAGAACGCATAAAACGGTGACGTCACTAATGACGTCATCTGCCGTGTTTAGAATAAAAAGAAATGAACTATTTCATTCAAATTTGATTTAGATCTACGTACACTATGGAACGTATACAATACAATTTTTCCGGCCTAAACTCATAAAATTTATTTTATGTATTTGGATTCTAGATCTAGAGATTCTAGATCTAGACTAAATCTAAATCTAAATCTACGCAATAACTAGATCTAGACGTAGACGCTAAGATCTAGATTTAGACTCTAACTTCTCTAAAATGAAAATCAATTCCAAAAATAAATTTCTATATTAGGACTAAACTATTTCAAGACTTATTTATTTTATTCAAAATCTTTGTTTGGAACTGGCTAATTTGGGATAAAAAAATTAATTTGAAAGAATAGGCATATTCGCGTAAGTTAAGATTTTAAAATACGTGTTTCATTCCCCGTTTTTTATAAATAGCGAAGATGTTAGTGTACATTAAACCACGCAGGTGGTGCGGGTTCGAGACACACCAAGTCAACTTAGATAATGTATTTTTTTTTTATTATGCTCGGGCTAAACTTAAAAAAAAAATTCTTTTAGGAATCTAGATCTAGATTGTCGGGTGTCCGATATGGCACTTCCCGGCGCCGCAGGCGCTTCAAATTTGGCAGGATCTTGCCTTGGGGCGACAGAACACGGGGGCCGGTTGGCCGAAAAGTCTACGATGAGGGGGTCAAAACTGACCTCGACTGACCGGTAGGCTACCTTATATGAGCTATAAATCGAAAAAAAATGTCCACGGAGGAACCTCTTCACAACTCCTGAGGTCGTAGACCGACCCTCGGGCGAATTAATTAAGCATGCAAATTCTCAATGTTTTCGAAAGCCTAAGCGAAGCTGGGCAGCATTCCTAGTTTATAAAGAAATGCCCAAAGTTATGTGTTGCAATAATAAATTAACGAGCCAACAACCTACTAAATACGTTTTTCATAATGTGTGCACAAACCTTAAATATGTTATGCAATTTTAGAACTCTACAGAAACATTTGGAAAAAGCTACATACGAGATAGAAAAACGTTTATATTAAGATGTACAAACAACAGCTAATTAGGTAATGATTTTTCTTCATTTTTCATCAGTAGCTTTTAAAAAGCTGTAGTTACACGTTAATTATAGGCCTATATATTTAAATGTTATGCTTATCTGAGAAATATATTATATAAAATAGTTATTGGTAAAAACGCAATGTGCTTTATTACACGCTGAAAGATATTGGTGGCAAATCAAAGAAATAAATGTAGAGCTAAAAATCCGACATATTTAAAATAGCATAGGCTACCAATACCCATTAGAAAAACCAAATTATATACATTATTAGTCAATACAACACCATATTAAATGCATAGACTGATCGAGACACTTAAATGATTCCGTTAAAAACCCGGCTGTTCGGTGTTATTTATGGTTTTTTTGTAAAAAATAATTTGTATTAGTTTCGGCCGAGAAAAGGGTGTAAATTTAATAGCGTACATCTAGACAGATAGATCGATCGATCTTAATCAAATTTGTATGAAATAGTTCATTTTATTCATGTTCTAAAATTGGAAGATAACGCCATTAGTGTTGTGTACTTTCTGTAGTTTAAACATGTGACATGTGACGTAATTGTTTTTTGCGTTCTTGTCACAACAATAAACACTTTCCGGTTGCGTAATTGAATAAGTGTTTCTACTTTCAAATACGACTTTATTTTTATTTTCTTTCTTTAAATACAATTTGGTTAATACATTTAAAACATTCAACATATTATTTTCAACAAAAGTCCGTATCTTTAAGTTCTCCATATATCGCTTAACATACTGATCACATAGACTAAAAATGTTGCGGACAGAGAGAGAGAGAGAGAGAGAGAGAGATAGAGAGAGAGAGAGAGGTAGAAGGAGAGGAAGAGAGAAAGAGAGAGAAGTGCGCACGTGGGCTTTTATATATTAGGATACATAGTTACAGCTGAGCATTGTGATAAGAAACCATGGCACACAACGATAAAACGGATATTCAGTGTTTAAACAAAATACCAAATTACAGAATTCGCCCAATTAGACTAATTACAAAAGATGTATATCCGCCATCATATTGTATTTGGCTTCATTGGAAATTTGGTTTACTCATGTATTTGATAATCTTAACTTCCATAATATCAGAAACACCCAAAGCTTTCAATCGGCTTTGCAGTTTACACAGATATGGTATTTTTGTGACCTGCTTTTCGTTACTTTTTGGCTGTTTTTCTAAGTTCGCAGGTTTCTAAAAACTGAAAAGCCTACTTCTTTTTTTATTTATTAGCCTATACCCACCATATTTTCAGTAATAGTTCCTCATGCAAAAATACAATTTTTGTCGCGAGGGAATTGTGATGGCTTTCATAGAAAAAAAGTAAATGGTAAATAATGTGCAAAATTTGAAACTTTTGAATACTAAAAAGGATACGATTTTTTTAAACCTAGTAAAATTTCTACTAGTAGTAATTTCAAAAAGTTTTCGTGACATAAGTTGTAATATATACTGAAATATAAGCAGTTTAAATTTGATTTAAGTGTATGAATTTAAAAAAATCCATAGTATTTTTTGAAATACCGTAAACATTCATAAAAATGGCGAAGGTTTTTTGGGTTTCAATGAAAACCACAATTGTTTTCAACCCCTTTTTTGCTGTTTAATACTTACTTTCATGTGTCAAACTTGGTAAAAGTATTCACAAGGCTTTAAATATTAAATTGTAAAAAATAGAAAAAAAACGGAGCATATGCCCTTAAAGTATATTTATTGGTCCGCTATTTGATTATCTAATGGAGTACTATGTGCCCTGTTACGCCCCGCGTTTTGAGCTATTTCAAGGAGAACCATGAGCCCCTTATTTACGTGCGCGTAATGCACCAAATTCTAAACATGTAAACGGAGCTTTGTTTCCTCCAACATATGAATATTAAAAGAAGAGCTGTAAGCCATAGAATTACTGTGAACGTTTGAATGTTGTTTACACTAGAGGCCGTGAATCGTTGTTTTTTTCTACGCATTAGTGTTGGTTTGTGATTGCAGGATAGTCAAAATATTGTTCATTTAAAATGTAATTTTTTTCTACAAAATCAAAATCAAGGTACAAGAAATACAATTAATTTTTTTGCAAAAAAAAATGTCAGTTTTGTCGAACTCTTTTGCTACCAAAACAGCCGGGTAACTACCTCACCCGGTCCCCTAAACTGCGGGTTTCTGTGTGCATATTTGTTTCTCCCTGTATATACATGAGATCAAACATTAGTTATATTTGTCATTCTTGTTTGTGTTCATTATAGTTTATGCTTAGGTTTCTCGCCGCATGGTTGTTTTGCTCTGTATAAAATTATATGAAATGTTATTTTTTTTTTGTCATTCCTTTTTGTGTCCATTAATAATAAATATTTTCCTTACTCAAATAGGTTATCACAATTTGAAATGTAACATGTTTCACAGAGAATCAGAGACCAAACAACCAACTCGTGTAGATAATGTGGATTTGGAAATAGCAGCCGACATTGTCGGATGTTTTAAAGCCAATTTTGACAACCTCACAGACTTTACGGTCAACGTTGACGACACCAAGTTCAACTGCCACAAGTTTGTCTTAAGTTCCTGCTCTGGTTTCTTTGAGGCTCTCATGAGGACAGATATGAGAGAAAAATCTAAATCAAGCTGTACCATAGAGGGCATCTCTCCAGAAATATTTGGTCTGATACTTGATGTTATATATAAAGGGAGAAACGTCTTAAATGAGGAAAATATGATTGAAATTTGGCATGCAGCAACCCAATTGCAGATTACATTATTAATCTCAGCTTTTGAAAAGTTTGTTGAAAAAAGGATAACTTTTGAAAATTACAAGATGATTTTGCAAAACGCAGAAATGTTAAGTTCATCGAAGGTAATATCCAAAGTGAGAAATGCATTGGCTTCATTTTACTTTGATTTAGTATCCTCTGAAAATTTCATGGAACTAACTTTAAACGAGCTGCTAGATATTCTTCAAAGTGATCAACTCACAGTATGCCCCGACTTTTGCGTCACTACTGTGTTACGGTGGGCAAGTGCTGAGGATAATTCCAGTCAGCCCGTCGTTGAAACGTCTCAATGTTCTCATCCAGATATTCCGCAGATAAAGTCCATGGATTTAGAATGTGTAGATTCCTCAAATCAAATTGATCGCAGATCCTGTCTTGATAAGTTGCTCGCTGTCATCCCACTCCAAAACACCAGCAAAGAGTGTCTCACTATGTTGATGAATAATGAATTCATTACTGAAAATAAAAAAGCGGTATCAACAGTAAATCGAATTGCTGCTACTAGACTTGATGTTTCTGAGCAAGAGAGATCACTAAAAGTAGGAAACCAGCACGATATGTTTGGACTAGGAAATGTAAACAACACTTTTCCTCCACACAATATAACATGCAAACACTGCAATCAAAAGGCTATAACCAGCGGTCAACTGGATTGATATTTCCTTAATTCGAGTTCCAATCCGACTTTTATGGCTCATATTTTTATACATATTCTCAAAACAAGCCAAACGTAATTCCGAAGAAAAAAGCGTGGATCAATGTTGCTGTTCATGTAAACAATTTCCAAGCCAAATTTCTTTATAGCTACTATAGCATGAGTGGTAGTCCACATATGAATCATATCATCCTTCTACCTATAGTTTTAACACTGCTCCCGTTCGAAAACTGCTACTGCCCGCTGCCGCCGATTTCATTTCCTTTTCATTTAGTCTTGCGGAATTTTGACCGCATAACTGAAACGGTACTCAGGTTATAATGTTTATATACAAACTGACAGACATAAGGGCATACAGACAAAATAAGTTTAAACATTAGAGGGAGGTGTGAAACGACACGATTTGTAAAAATATTGATTTCGATTTTTTTTTTTTGCAGTTTTACATTGCTTTATGTTGTGAATATAAGAATGTTTTAAAAATTATATTTCTTGAATTATTTAAAAGTTATTTTTCTTCTTTGAATTTGAAATTGTGCCATTTGAGGGGATTTTCTCCAATATTATTGAATGTTTCGCGTTACATTGTTATACGTCCTCTAGCTTATTGACCACAGATTCAGCCGTACTATATTTCTGGATTTGCTGCTATGACTTTTTTTCTACCTAAGAATAATCTGCAATGAAGCAGTTGTATGATTATGGAGTTTTCTAACGTACATGGGTTGCTGTCCAAAGTTAACTAGACTCATATGGTCGTGTATGTTTTGTTAATTGTACTTACTTTTTAAAAAATTGTTTGTGTTATCATTAATATTTGGAAACCGTTTATGACATTTTATAAACATTATCTATGTATCGTTTTATTTAATTCAATTGGTTTTGAACTTATACTTTATATGTATGAAAAGTATAAAAAATGAATTATCTAAATTTTTGTAGGTTTTTGTTTTTTTAATGTGTTGTTATTTTGTTCAAACTGGTTAGAGAAAAGTATTGTTATGAATATGATAAAGGTCTGAAAGAAAGACCATCTTTACAGTTATTTAAATAGTAGTCAATAATTTATTTATTAGTGCATTATTACATAAAACCTTGTTATTAAAACGTTTTTTATGAATTTTTAAAAGTATTTTACATGTTTTATTTACAATAGTTACATGACTAAAAACCATTGCGCACCAACTGAACGTGATGACGCCCATGGCGAATACTATCCTATAGTTTATATAATATAATCAAATTTATTATTGGGCACTTTTTAATAATGGTGATTACACATTTTAGCGCAACCCCCATATGGATAGCGCCCTAGGCGACCGCATAGTTCGCCTTATAGGTAGCACCGGCCCTGCAAATAACACCACTTTTTAAAAACTACACATGATTTTTTGCATCAGTTTTTTTTCTCATGCTTTTAATTTTGCAAAATGATTAATAAGCTCCTTGAGATATATTTTAGCTGCTTCTGAATGTTAGATACTTAGGATGGCTAAGTACTGACCCGATGGGCTTATCTACAATTAGTTTCAGAACATCTTAATATCATTATACTAAACAAATAATGAGATTAAAAAAAAAATCAATCATAGAAATCAAAATCTCCTTCCTGGTCACAGTGAAATTTTAAAGAATGCTTACACTAACTAGTGTACCCGTCCGCGTTGCTGCGATCTAGTTTTACAAACAAATTTGTAATGGTATTATCAACGCGTTAATAATTGTGTATTTTTTAGTCGTGTGGCCTTATTTTCTAAAACTGAGATAGTTAAAATGTAAACAACGCCACTGGTTTTTTTTTATCCTTGTTTCTTGGGCGCTGGTTTGTCCACTTTACCGAACAGACGCCCTTGGGCGTGCTGCTTGAAAAACCAACTGTACGATAATCGTCATATGTTATTGTGTTGTTGAACACATTTCAGCGAACCCATAAGGGTGTCGCGGGAGTGACATGTTACCCTACCGTATGTAGCCAGATGCTACACCTGGTTCGGTTTTAATCCGCCGTAAGGTGCTCCTGTACTTGGTGTCATCTGTAAACCGGGGGCGTTGAAGGCCACTCCTGTTGCAGTTTGATCGTTGAATAAGTAGGAAGCGCAATCAACGGATCTCTTTCACTCAGGTAGCCACTGGCTATCTCGGGACGCCCAACCTTTTCTACTGCTGATGTGCTGGAGGACACTCCTTATTCGATTTAGGTATCGATTATAGTAGCCCTCCGTATCCTTACTGTATGGCGCTCATTATAACTAATGTAGGTGCCGTAGAGCTCGAGGGGAAGCCCAGAGCGTACCGGATTACGCAACCGCCTGGGTGCGGGCTGATGCGCCTGTGGATTTGACGCTGCGCCGGATATTCAATCAACGGACTCCAAGTGCAAAGATATATAGTGTTAGTAGCACCAAATGGGCCCTGTTCGACTACCCCCCCCCCCCCCCAAACAGACACACACTGAATGCCAATGTTTGTATAGTAAGAAAGGACTAGGGGCCTTTTGGAACTTTGAATTATTTCTACAGTAGAAAAGAAACTGGATTTCCTTTTTACTTTCTCGTATATACGAAGTATAAAGAAAGTATTGTAATCGTGCAAAAAAAACAATCGAGATTTTTACAAATCTCGACGTTTTACATTTCACTGATACGGAAAAACATAATTTTGCAATCTTGTCCGTATGTCTCTGTGTGTGTGTGTGTCTGTGTGTGTGTGTGTAAACACGATAACTTGAGTACCGTTACAGCTAGGTTGATGAAATTTCATATATAAGTATTTTATCAAAATCGTAAATCCGTATCAACTTTTGAGCGATTTCCGATAACCGGAAAGGGTACTTTTTCTATTTTGAATTTTTCAAAAGCCTATAACTTGAATACTATTTCAGATAGATAAATGAAATTTCTCGTGTAAGTAAAAGATCTAATTCTCTTCGTTCTGTCAAATTTTGAGTAATTTCCGTTGACGGGAAGTACTAATTTACGCTATTTCCGATTTCTCAAAAACGCATCTAAATTTATAAAGTATTAATAATATTGCGCATCATTATGAACATCTTTATTTAGCGTGCACTTGGTGTGCATTTCTTTTTTCTACGATATTATATTCTATTTTTAAAAATTTGAGTAATTAAAATGGATTAAAAATTGTGTCTTGAAGTCTATATCCCGAGTTGCCATCCCCCATAGTGTTATATTAGAATATTCGAGAAAGTTTAGGGTTATCGGAAATCGCTCAAAAGTTGATACGGATCTACGATTTTGATAAAATACTTATATATGAAATTTCATCAACCTAGCTGTAACGGTACTCAAGTTATCGTGTTTACACACGGACGCACACACAGACACACACACAGACACACAGACATACGGACAGAATTGCAAAGCCCAGTTTTTCAGACTGGATTACGCATAAAACCTCTTAATTTTGATAAATCTGGATTGATAATTTTTGCCCGATTAAAATAAGTCCTCTATACTTCGGATGTGATGAAGGACTGAGATGTAATACGGTGAAAATTGTTAAAATTTCATGTGATTTTTGTGCACGATTACAATACTTTCTCTATACTTCGTATATACGAGAAAGTAATAAAGCTTCTAGAAAATCAAATTGTGTGTTGCTACTTGTTCATTAATAAATAAATTTAATAAATATAATGTGTATCTACAGTTGAGAAATAACGGAGTCGCCCCATCAGAGGCCTAGCGAGGGGGGGGGGGGGGCGGATCGCACCGGGTGACAACATTTAAGGGGGGGGGGTGACACCAAGGCGAAAAATAGCAAAATATATAGAGAAAAATTTGAGGGGGGTGCACATCGAAAGTTTGAGCGGGGGGGGGGGGGGGGGGGGGGGGGGGGAAGGGTCGCTACGCCTCTGGGGGTATGACACCATTAAGTACCGCACCGGGTGACACCCGACCTCGCTACACCACTGCGCCCCATTCTTCGGACTTTATATACGCCTCCTTGCTCCCGACACTATTATATTGTATAAAGTCCACAGAACACCTCCAATACCCATTCCCAATATATCCACGATTAAAAAAAAGTCCATTAAAACTAAGCCCACTAAAGAGCTCACGTACGTTGAGCAACATGAACACACAAGCTATAAGCCCATTAATCCAACAGGGTTTCTTTCCTACTTTTTTTCTCCGTAGTTAGTGGGTCGTGTATGTATTATAATATCTCTTGGCAATCAAAACCTGCGCGGGCGTGCACTGTTTATATTATACGAGCTGACCCGCTGCGTATCATACGCCGCTATTTAGTTTTTTTTTCTACTTTTCAGTAATTTATAATTTGTGAATTCGACAGTACCAATGCTGCCATTGAAAATATTTGCTTAAAAACACTACCCCCCCCCCCCACGTGAAAGCAGCCTCCTATTAGTTACCTCCTCTAAGTTCAAAATCGTTTCAAACTCAATTATCTGCCACTAATAGCCGTCACCAAACCCGTCTCTATGATTGTAAAATGTAAACAGAGTAAACACCGCTCACCAGATCATGTGGGGGTGGGGTGGGGGTGGTAGTGATAGTGATAGAGAGGAAGAGAGGGGACTGCAAAGGCGCGCTTGCAGCTTGTTTTCTAACTGATCCCAGAAGAGAATTATATATATAGATATTTTCTATATAACGATCTATTGTTTTTAAATATCTTTCGATTGTGAGGGAGGGGGTAGCGGTGGACGTACTCCATGTGTGTGAGGGAGAGGAGGGGGGGGGGTTAATAAATAAGCATTCAGCAATTAACCCTTAAGACGATAATTCTATCGGGCAATCTCAACTCTTCATAGACAAGTTTATAGTTCAAAGGTCATGTTCTGCAATCTTCATATTTTCAGTATTGCGAAATAACACCGTTTGTTCTGTAAACTACCATCACTAACGTTATCAAGCGCTTGACGAACAGTTTTACATGTTCTAAATTTCTCATTCGCTCTATATTTGGTAAATATATTATGGTAAACATGGAGCCAAATACGATTACTTATTTCTGAACTACGTATGCGAACACTACAACAGAATCACAGAATCAAATTGACAAAATAAACAACGCAGTAGAAATATAACATTGGGAAATCCCGTTGTGAATTTCTAAATTTACTTTAGACTATATATGGTCTGACTTAGACGACCCTCAGTGTTTGTGACGCCTGTACCATACACACATAACCTGATACTAAATGATATCGTGTTTTTTGGCTTAAGTGGAATGTAGAAGCATGAATCAAGTGTAGTACAGTGCAAGAAAAATAAAATGGTGATACATTGTGAGAATCATATCACGTACAGATTTTAATAAAAACCCTCCAACCTAGTGGTTGATCCATAAATGACGTCATGCTTTTTTGCCGATTCGTACTCCCCCCCTCCCCTCCATCACAATTCGTCACAAAAAAGCCAGACCCCCCCCCCCAGTAAAATGACGTCACACCTCAGCCTAAAACCCTCCTCAAAACTGCAGTTGAATTTTTCTTAAAACATCAATATTTTTTAAAAATTTTGTCTGTACTCTGTCAACATAGAGTATTTAAGCATTTTTTTTAATTTTTATTGCAATGTATTAAAAACAGTTTTCGAAAACACAAAATAGCGGCTAAAATTCGTTTTCTAAAATTGTTTTTTTTATAATGCAAAATTGTGACGTCACATCATCTTACCCCCCCCCCCCCCTCTCTAACAAACCGTCACGAAATTACAGACCCCCACCCATCTTCGAGTGTGACGTCATTTATGGACGACCCCTAGGCAAAAATGGAACAAAAATGTAGTATGTACAGAATCACATTTATTAATCAGACTACGCCCTCATTCCTAGATATTTAAGGGTCTACACCCCCACCCCCACGGAAGTATCAAGAAACCCCGCAACCTGTCTGAATGTCTAAAAGAAACACTTTATCTAAGAAGTTTATAAAATCATGGTTCTCATCTTAGCCGTCTTGCACATCATATCAGAAATCATGCATTACTATAAGTTAGTAGATAGAGCTGACGATAAGCGTATGGTTAGCAAATTGTAACGAGCGATATGTAATACACATGAGTGAGCAGACATGGAAAGTAGAGACTTAATAAATAAAACAGTGTATGTTAAAATTGTTCAGCCAAATTTCTGTTTATGTTTTCAACAACTGTCTTTAAAAAATAAAAAAATCCAATATAAAAATGTTGTTCTTAGCTCTTTTATTTCTAGATTCTATGTGTAATTTACTTGGAAGACACGGCTTTTTTTATTAGCTTGACGTCAACACGGGACGTCAACCAACTTAATAAATGAAAATTTAATAACTTTCAACACATTCATATAAGACACGCAGGTACCTACTTTTGTTTAGCTAATATTAAACACGTAACGAGGAATAAAATAATCACACCTATACCACTAGTCACAGATAAATGTAATCCTTAATCATCATCTCTTGTTGAATGACTGCCTATTAAGTTGTGATAAGATCATATATAATGATGATGGCTACTTGATACCTACATCACTGTCACGCGGATATAAAATTAGAACAGGATATTCCCACTTCATTTGTATGTACAATAGACACGTTTATTTACGTTTTAGAACATCATAAGTGATTTAATACCTTAGAGCAGGGGTCGGCAACCTTTTGAAGCAGAAGAGCCAAAAGTTGCAATTTTCAAAATTTCCCTGGTTTTAAAGAGCCACTAAGATTTTTTAAATTTCAAATATTTTTTTTGATTAAGATTATTAGTTTTTTTGCAAGGAGCTGAAGAGCCGCATCTTGATATCAAAAGAGCCGCATGCGGTTCGCGAGCCGCAGGTTGCCGACCCCTGCCTTAGAGAAACAAGTTTTTATTTAACACCAATCTTGAAAGAGATCGAGTACTATGTGAAATATAGTAAAGGTAGAGTTTCCTTTCGAAATTGACTGTCCATGGGGCAAGTGAAGTAGAGCTCACCTGTTTCTATGACCTCGGCATGTAAAGGGAAAGTGTGGTCAACACTATGCCAAGCCGCCTTTAATTTCCCTAAGATGAGTTAGGTACTCGTTAGAGCTGGGTGGGCTCAGGGGTGTTCTACGTACTTGAATCCGAATTTCGGGTTAGCAGTCGTATTCTCTACCATTCGACTGCATCGTCTTTTATTTTACGTATCGGCAGCAGAATGAAAGCTTGGGTATTTTCAAATATATAGTGTCTTTCTAAAATGAAAGATCAACAATATATTAATGAAATTGATACAGGCGTAGAAGGGGTATTATCATATGTTATAAGTTGATAAATTAATATCAATTTATACTGTAATAGGTAAAACGTTCTTTATTTTATTGTGCACCTTCGGTTTTGTAAAGGAAAAGAATAGTCGCAACCAAAAGGACATGTTAAATAGAAACTCTGGTATGATTAAAAGCCTATTCATTTGATTCAAAGGTAGTCATTTAATTGCCCATGTATCTCACTAAAAACTTTCTCTCCCCCTCCCCTCACAACAAGAAAGTGTACAGCCTCCCCCCCCCCCCCGAAGGAGATGGAATTTATATAGAAAACATACTTTTACCAGTTTCGCCCCCACCCCGGAAAATATCAAGTGCCCCCCCCCCCCCCCCCGGAGAAAAAAGTCTGAAAAAAAAACACTGGAGTTGGAATATAATTCTAGACTCTTCTAGATCTGCCCTTGTCATAAAAAATAACTTCTGTACATGCCGCTATAAGACAGAACAGGTGATTTAAGTAGAGCTTTGTGTCGTCATTGTACATGGGGCGGGGGCAGTGTTTCTTTCTGGCTTCTCTTCGGGAGGGGGGTTGGGTACAGAGTTTCTTTCAGGCATCTCTAAATGACACATAGACAAGTGTAGCTGTTTTACAACACCCCCCCCCCCCCCTCCCGAAGAAAGTCTACCCCCCCCCCCCCCCCGAACAAAATGGAATTTATATAGAAAATATATACTTTTACTAGTGTCCGCCCCTCCCTCCCGGAAAATGTTGACCGCCCCCCCCCCCACCGAAAATAACAAGTGCCCCCCCCCCCCTACTCGTAGAAAAAAGTCTGGAAGAAACACTGGTTGGGTACATATTAAAGACACTTTCTGTATTATCATGGGTGTGTGTCTAACCGAAATGAGGGACAATCTCACGTTTGTAAGCAATGGACGTGACTACAGCTCATATAAAACAGTGGGTCTACGCGGGAATGTAGGGCAAAGAATAAGATGAGGGGGAGGAATGGTTGGAGGTTTACAACGGCTACAGACTTTCCTGTAAGGGAGGTCACTGTTTTTATTATTGTCGGAAGCTAACGCAATCACCCCTGAGTCACGTGACTGGCTTCACCCCGCAACGTGTTCGTCCTCAAGGCGCTAACTAGGCAGTGCGTGGGGGGGGGGGGGGGGAAGGGGAGGACATAAACAGTGTACCTAAAACTGTAAACAAACAGCGAGAACCAAGCAAGCTGAAATAAGTTAAAATGTCTTTGCTTGTTTAGACTCTGCACTAGTTCAAGGCTGACGAAACGTATAATTTTATCATCCCTGCCCCCTCCCCCCCCCCCCCCCCCCCGTTCAATGATAGCACAAATTTCACGTTCTATTTATAGCGCACTGCGTGACGTGATATTTAGACCATCCATTCAGAACGCGAGACGAACATCGTACGATTGCATCACATGCCGGTCACTCGTGTTTCTAGCCGGCGAGCACAAGTGAAGTCTAAATTAAACCCTGAGCTGTGTATTGGCCCAGTAAACTTGTTGTAGCCTCCACTACTAAAAGTGCAGGCTACGTTTTTTTTTCTTCAAGAAAATGTGTTTTATAGCAAGAGAGATAAAGGGTCTTGTCCAGATAAGCCTCTCCACAAAAGCAAAAAGTGTACGCGCGAAAAGTTAAGCCTCGCCAATAGTGAAGTATTTCTGATGATTTGAATACCCTCGAGTGTTAGGGTTACGGTTGGGGTTAGAGTTGGGGGTTAGGATTTAGGTTAGGGTTAAAAGTCCCAACAATCAAACATTTTCATGCAAATTATTACTGACTAGTCAAAAATTCCCCCTCTTCAATAAAATCTAAAAAGTACCAGTTTCGTATCCTCTTCTTTATAATCCTTTTTCTTTAGATGGCGAGGGTTAATTTTTTGCGTGGCTTATCCAGACAAGATCCAGATAAAAAATATCACTTGCTTTCAATTTTTACAGGATGACTAATCTACACCATACCATTGATTTAATCATAACGTGTGTTTTTGTTTAGAGGTTCGTCCAAAAATAATTTGACGTAATTACAATCACCCGACCTTTACTATGTCACACATCGTCACAAAACCTTACACCATCATAAAAAATGACGCCACAAAACCCTAGACAACGACATTTAAATGACGTCCCAAAATCATAGACCACCATGACACGTAGATGACGTCACAAAACCCCACACTACCACGACACTTAATTTACGAATTTGGAATTTTTTCATCCTTCGTCTATCAAACAGATAAATAATATATGCAATATAATGTTCTTTTTCTTAATCGCTCAGTCACCCTCCCCTCCCTCCTCCCACCGATTCCCCTGCCCCTAAAAGCAAAACATCAAAAACATCAGAAACCCATTCCGAAGTCGTTGTGTATGAACCTCATTCTACTAAGAAAAGCTTTTAATAAATCTTGCAATTAATCATTCATAAAATTCGACCCATTTCTAGTATAAAAACATACGTTTATATTAAAAAACAGAAAAAAATTGAATTAAAAAAATTGCGTCCATAACTCCTGAAAATTAAACATAAGCTTACATATATAAATACGAACAAACTAATCAAAACAAAACATACGCTATGGGAGCTTTACGGGAATTCCCTGTTGGCGTTTGTGTGACTCAAGCTATATATAGATTTAAATGCTTGCATTCGTAGTAAAACGCATGTTGAATAACAATGCAGTCGAGGTTTGTAATTAAAACCAGTAGTATACATTTTTATAGTGCTTCACAGTGGTTAACTATCACATTTCTAAGGTAAGTGAATAACTACTACTACAACACTAATTGCTTGATCACTGGATTTAACGGCTTTCGGATTATGTGCAGGATTAGAACTAGGATAAACGGGATCAATAGTATAATAGTTGTTATAATCTGTTTGATCAGGAATTAGAAAATTCTATATTACACTACATGGTCATTAGAGATGTATTCTGATTTTCGTTCGAAAATGTAAATGCTATTTTGGCTTTTATTTACCATGCACAATTTAAACATTGGTTTTCGTTATTTAATGTTTTTTTTTTACTTTTAGATTCCTCTTAATAAGTACTATTATTATACTAATAGAAGTTATAGAGATAATTTTTAAGATACATTTTATATTACAACTAACAGTATTTTAGACTTATAGCTCTACCTATGGACCACGATAATTATTAAATTATTAATAATTAAAGCTATTTATCTCCCAACTTAATTTCTGCTCACTTAGTTAACATTAACATATATACAATAGGTCAAAATATAGCTCTATTCAATTTTTAGTTACATTGGCCTATCTAGCATAATATCGCCCTTGAGTCTACTCAGCTTTGATGAGTACCACACTTAAAGTAAAGTACCCTTTTTAAACCTGGCGGTACATGGGGCAGGTGAAGTAGAACTCACATGTTTCAACTACTGCGGCATATGAAGGGATATTGTGATCATCGGTATTGCTAGTTGTCCTTACTTCACCTGATGTAAGCCAGGTACCATTGGACCTGGATGGACTCAGGAATTGAGCCCTGGATCTGAACTCGGGACTTTTGGATTACATGTCGCATGCTCAACCACCCGACTACGCCGTTCATGCATTTTAGACACACAAAAAAAACGTAAAAGCCGACCGGAAATAATTATTTACCATATTATCCTTTTGATAAGTAGTGGTCAGAGAAATAGGTACACTCTACTTCATCTGCCTTGTAAACAGTCAGTTATAGATTGTATGTTTCTACACGAATGTATGGGTACTGGGTACGGCTAATCTATTTGAGCGTTTTTTTATAACCTCTAGATAATAAGGATTACAACACTTTTTTAAGAGAAGGAAGTGCGTTCAACTATATCTTGATCTTTCCTGTTTACTTTAATAACTAGAACGAGGTCTCCATAAATAATGACGTTACGAACTTTAGTCCACTATTTGCCTAGGAAGTGATAGTGTGGTTATTCATTCTTTTTGTGCTAGGGTTGTATTGACGGCTGGTGCTTGATACAGAAGAAGTAAGACATGTATTATAAGTGCGTTCACCTGATTTGAAATACGTCGTCTGGAAACTTTAAAAGGATCGCACGCTAGTGTAGGCTTTGTGATTGTGTGGGACCGTTAGGTTAAAAATAATCTTCCCCATTTAGGGTGGGAAGTTAGAGAGGGTAGTAGTGACCTTTTCTGTGTATGTGGAAAATGAACCATTACGTAATTGGGGATTGAAAACACAATAAAAGGAACGAACGTACCGCATTACCCCAGTATAACAGTTTTTACCTTTGATTAACACATATATATATATATATATAAATAAATAAATATATATATATATATATATATATATATATATATATATATATATATATATATATATATATATATATATATATATATACATAGTCTCACCACCCCTTCCCTCCACACCTCACTCCCATATATATAAATCTTGAAAACAATTCGTACTTTAAAAAGCTGGGTTTTATAGTACCGTCCATTTATTTAAAAAAATATATATAAATCTCTAGTTATATTTAGTAGTTATCATTGCTAAAGATATTTACACCTTCTTTGCTTGGAATAAGTGTTTTTTAAGAAAAACGCATACAGAAATACAGTTTTTTATCCAGGTTGTTTTTCTGACAATTTGTGTAATTTAGGTTAGGTCAAAAAAATGACAAAACAACATTCCTCTTAAGACCTAGCGATCCAGTGGGCAGGTGAAGTAGAGATCGCATTTTCCTTAACCTCGGCATATGAAAGGATAGTAAGGTCAGCACTATTCCAAGAGGTCAGGTAGCTTCCATTAAAATAGACTTTTAGTTTGGGAAAGCCTTAGGTATAATGTCATGTTTAGGGTAGCGATACTCCAAGACTGTTACTTCGATTGTGCGTTTCACAAGACAATACTAGCCTCAGCCTAATATCTGACCACTCAAGGGAAAATAATAAATAATATCCTCTTAATCTGACAATATTTTAGTCCATGGAAGGAATCTCCCATTAAAAACAATACGATGGATCTTGTTCTTACAGGCTGCTGAAATGACGGTGCAATGAGCGACAGGGCTGTAGACAACTTATATACAGGTAGTGGTTTATTTTTTGCTGTTGTGTCATGCTCAGTGAGTGGTGAGATTGTGTGAGAGGGGTGCTTCTAGGGGGATAGAGGGTTGTGGGTGTGTGTGTGTGGGGGGGGGGGGGGTGGAACGAAGTCGCACAGTAGTGGTTAGAATGGTTATCATTGTCATAAAAATACATCGTTATCATTATCATCTCTCGTCATACCTGCTTGTGTGTTAGCTGCAAAATTCAGCACTTCAGAGTTGTCTATCTTGTTTGAGTATTGATTGGCAAATGAAGCCATCCAGAGTTCTCTATCCTACTGAAGTAGGCTTTAGTCCGCCCACTACAGCAGTCCTTATTTCCTGTTGCATATTGTATAAAGAAGTGTGTAGGGGCGATAAAACATGTTTTTATATTGTCTTACTTGCAATTTCTATTGTACTCAACGCTATCTTAAATAAACACTTATCCTCGTGAACTTAAAATACATAATTTTTTTTCTACTTTCCGGTAATTTTTTTTTTAAAGGAACCTTCGAAGTAGAAGAAATCTACGAAGACGACGATCCCAAACTTCGCGTCTGCAAAAAACTAAAATCCCACTCCAAGTTTATCCCCGTGACCAAGTTTATCAAAAAACATCTGCCCATCAGATATCGAAACTACGACGTGCTCAACTTAATCAAATCCCAAGCGGAGCTGACGGTCTTTTTACGGATTACCAAAGTCAGCGAGGATCGTCCGGAGTTATACCCCGGTACATGCTACAACTACCCCTCCCACGAACACAAGGGGAAAAACAAACTCAGAAACGGAAGTGGAGTCGTGTGTAAAGTGGTGAGGTACGCTGAAAAAGATAACAAAACTTGCCCGTGCGAGAAGTGTAAGACCTCGTCCACGCCTCGTAAAGAGTGGGGCGAGATTAACGTTTTCACCGCCACGCATGTTGTGTACGACGAAACGGAAAGAAAACACACGCAGGTTTATTTCTTCCGGGACAGCAAGGAGGTGGATAGTACGCAAGGAGTCAGTATCTGCGCGGAGCAACTTGTGAGATTAAACGTTGAAAAAGATTGGTGTCGTATCAACTGCTACACACACAACGACAAGCTTTTACACAGGTTAGATAAAGCTTTAAGGAGTTTTGAACGCTACTGTCAAATTGTGGAGGACAGGTATAAACAAACGCCTGGGTTACATAAGTTGACGGTAGTTGTCTCCCATCCGCACGGAGACTACAAAAAGGTGTCGATTGGCCAGTGGAGAGATAAGACCAGGAAAAGTCGGTTCGGGGATCACAGGTACACGTACGACACGGTCACCTGCCCGGGGAGTAGTGGGGCGTATGTGTACATCCTGGGGGTGGCAAGCAGTCGTATGACTACCTGCATAAGGGGTGTAATGAGCTGGGGTTGAATTTTAGTACTGATGGCTGGGAGTCTTTGTAAAGATGTAATGAGTATGGGTTGAATTTTAGTACTGATGGCTGGGAGTCTTTGTAAAGATGTAATGACCATGGGTTGAATTTTAGTACTGATGGCTGGGAGTCTTTGTAAAGATGTAGTGAGCCTGGGTTGGATTTTAGTATATTTGGCTGGGAGTCTTTGTAAAGGTGTAATGAGCATAGGTTGAATTTTAGTATATTTGGCTGGGAGTCTTTGTAAAGGTGTAATGAGCATGGGTTGAATTCTAGTATATTTGGCTGGGAGTCTTTGTAAAGATGTAATGAGCTTGGGTTGAATTTTAGTATATTTGGCTGGGAGTCTTTGTAAAGGTGTAATGAGCATGGGTTGAATTCTAGTATATTTGGCTGGGAGTCTTTGTAAAGATGTAATGAGCTTGGGTTGAATTTTAGTATATTTGGCTGGGAGTCTTTGTAAAGGTGTAATGAGCATGGGTTGCATTTTAGTATATTTGGCTGGGAGTCTTTGTAAAGGTGTAATGAGCATGGGTTGAATTTTAGTATATTTGGCTGGGAGTCTTTGTAAAGGTGTAATGAGCATGGGTTGAATTTTAGTATATTTGGCTGGGAGTCTTTGTAAAGGTGTAATGAGCATGGGTTGAATTTTAGTATATTTGGCTGGAAGTCTTTGTAATTGTGTAATAAGCGTGGATAGACTTTTAGTACTGATGGCTGGCAGTCTTTGTAAAGGTGTAATAAGCATATGCTGAACTTTAGTGCTGATAGTTGAGGTCTTTATAAATATGTAATAAGCGTCAGTTCAATTTTAGTACCGACAGTTTTGTTAAAGTGTAATAAGCATGGATAGAACTTTATAATGGTCTACTGAGCATGGGTTAATATTGTTGGCTGGAAGTCTTTGTAAGTGTCTAATGAATGTTTGGATTGTATAAAGCAGGGGTCTCCAAACTTTTCAGTCCGAGGTCCGGATTAACTATCAAATTTCAGTTCGGGGGCCACTTTCTTCCAGGTATGTCTTTCATTTTTCTGGGCAAAGTTCCTCAGCCATCACCAACAAACGATTTTTCTTTGGACAAAAAGATCTCCGCGGGCCGGATGAGAGGACTTAGCGGGCCGCATACGGCCCGCGGGCCGTAGTTTGGAGACCCCTGGTATAAAGGTATGACATAAGTGTGAAGATCTTAAAAAAGTTGCATGAATGTGTTTGGTGGGGTCGCCTTTGTAAGAATGTATTTAGAGAATGTGGATGAGCATAATAATTAAACAATAAAATGTTGTACATCGTATAATGTGTATACTATAACTTCATTAACTTAAAAAAAAAAACAACTGATGTTCCTGAACGGTATGAGTCTTTAAATATTATGGTGACTACATATATACATTTGTTATGAGTTTTCATGACACTATGTAATAATGGGATATGTACATCTTAGAATTATATCGTTTTTATTTTCAGATCATATCATTACTCAGCTTATGATCACCATCAGTGTTTTAATCTCATTTTTTTCCTACCTCATATAGTATTAATTAAACACATTTTATTTTATGTGAAAACTGTAAATTAAATTTATTCACCAGGCAGCTTTCAAATACTCACTTCTCTACAACTACTTCACTCTTACAATTTTTTTTTCAAAATCTAAATAACCATTTTAAAATTTAAAACAATTATTTTGAAATAATTCGCAAGCGATTCAATTATGGTTACATTTTTAAAATTGAAGCCGTTTGGGAACCATCGATTACATTCATTTTCATATTTTTGTATTGATAATAGCCATTGACAATAACATACGTTTTTTAATCCATTCCAAATATTTAAAAAACCGTCCTGCACTTAACATTGAGTCTATCGGAGTGGCCAGGTAAAGCAAACACAATGGAAGTCAAAACAGTTGCTTTACATGATAAAATAAACCTCCCGAAAATGGTGACCAAAGTTAAATAAAATGGCAAACAATGGAATTTTTCAGTTCGATTCACATTGTTAAAAATGCATTTGCGTATCCTTTTATTGTAATGGTCTCACTATTTTAAGCCGTTTGGGAACCATCGATTACATTCATTTTCATATTTTTGTATTGATAATAGCCATTGACAATAACATACGTTTTTTAATCAATTCCAAATATTTAAAAAACCGTCCTACACTTAACATTGAGTCTATCACTATTTTAAGACTATTAAGTTGAGATGTTATATTACTTGATCAAATAATTACTTGTTTCAGTTTTTCTAGCCTTAATAAAAACGGAAGTCAATTTGTAGCAATTTCACATTTAAAAAAAAAAATATTATACTTCGATTGAAAAAAAGCTGTTTGGCAACTACAATTTAAACCACCTTTTAAGCCTAAGTAAAGGCGGCTGGGCATAGTTCTGACCACACTATCCCTTCATGAGCCGAGGTCACAAAAACATGTGAACTCTACTTAACTTGCCCAGTAGACCGTCAAGTTGAAAGGGAACTTTACTTTAATCCTACTATAGAATGCACGCAGTTCGTAATTCGTTAACACATCATTTGATCTGATTAAATAATAACATGACATCTCACAATTGTTAATCTTATAAGTAAAACATAATCCACATTATAAATACCACTAAACTGTGCTTTTCATTATACATTGATGTATTGTATTTATTGATTTATTGTTTATATTTATTATTTTTATATTTTTTAAACTTTATAAATCTGTTTAATATATACCTCATGTAAAACAAAAGCTTTGAAAACAACATAAAACGTTTAGTTATATTCTATCAATAGTATAAAAAACCCAATTCAAACTATTTTTATACGCTAAAAGCCAGTAAAACGTAAAAAGGCAGGCAATTTTTTATCCTATTTGTTTACACATTTAGTGTTTTTCATATGAAAACTGTTTTACCAACTATATTTTCCTTTCACCTATTTTGTTTTTGTAGCCCTGTGTGTATACTGTCGTGACAAAGCAAAAACAGGTTTATAATGTGCTATACGGTGATACAATAGATGTGTGGTTTATTATGTGGTAAAGTAGTTATCATGGAGTAAAAATTTCTATATATCAGCGTTAGAAAGTACGGCTTATTTATTGTTATAGATTTAGTACATTCTTATAGTTACTCAGTATTTGTTACTGATTATGGCGCAATGTAAATAATTCACACAACTTGCTCTGATATTTGTTCTCCAATGTAGATGTAAGGAGGTTCAGTTTTATAGCTTTTGTTTTATGACTATGGCAGTCTGATAGTTTTCTTGTATCACTAGAAGCCTTATTATGTCCCATGAGGTTTTTTTTTTGGTTGACGATTGTATGAGTAAAATACACTTTAAGACCACACCGGACAAACCACTTATTCCCACTTTTTGAAATTGTTGATATATATATATATATATATATATATATATATATATATATATATATATATATATATATATATATATATATAACGTATGGCAATATGAAAGCGTAAAACCACCTCTATCCCTTAATAGTTTAGGTTATAAAATCATGCCACAATGGAACAGCAAAGGATGTCAAACAAAAAATTAAATCTTTCTCAAAAGTAGAAACTGTGGGTTATCCCCCGTGGTCTTCAATCGATTCAATAAAACGATAGATAAATTTTGTCTAAAGCAAATTAATGGGTTTTGTAAAGAGTTTTTTTCTTTGTTTACCAGGAAAAAACCCATTCAAATCGACACTGTTTGTATTTTTACTTTAGTAATGAATCTCAGGTTTTTTTCAAACGCACGCACGCAAACAAATACGCACACGCATACATACACGCACAAGCATGGTTGTGTGTGTGTGTGTTAATAAATTAACATTACAAAATCTACTATTTATTTAAGTATTACAAAGTATTAAAAAGAAAATTTAATTTTTTGCATATTTTTTACTTTGCCTTTTTGTTTGCGGTCCAGTCTAAATCACATTTTTATTGTAGAATTTATTTTTATTTACTAATAAACGAGTATTTATATATTTAACCGTGTTCTTTTTTACTTGATGGTGATTTGGGTATGGCAACACGTTAGATAACACATCAGAATACATTTCTGTTTTAGACTAATGGCCTGCATCAGTGATGTAGGCTCGTTCATAGAAAGTCTCCAGCTGATACATTACTGAAGATAGGTTACTTAGTTGTTTTCTTTTATTGCCTATACAACTTGTTCCCTGATAAAGAATTTAGTTGGCGAAAGTTGAATGGATGATATTGGTAATATCATTAAAAGTTTGTCCCAAAAGATAAATATTAGAGATTTAAACTACAGCAGTATTAGAAAATACAAACAATCTTTGTAAGTCATAACTTAAGATTATCCTTTCTTTAAAGCATAGTTTAAGTATAATAACTAGTACTAGTAAGTAGTATCATCGTATACATGTAGAATATTGGGAGTTCCTTAGCCTACGTTAATACTATATATATATATATATATATATATATATATATATATATATATATATATATATATATATATATACATGATCAGTACAAACGAGTCATCGCTAAGAATAAACGTGCCACCACCCAAGTTTGACAATCCTTCTTGAATCAATAACATGGTACAAGGCTTACAACATCTCATATATATACAGCGCATATTGTAGTAGCTGATCTATTCTTCACAAGACCAAAGGTAAGACATTTCCGTTAGTGGTACCCAGTTATTCGTAGATCTACACATCTTCGTGGTGTATGTTAGTGAAGACTATCAGGTAAGACCTTTCAATTACATGAATTATTCACCATTACAATTTTTTCAAACCTCAGGGTTAGTTTTAGAGTTTGTCATTTGAGTTAGGTTTAGTATAATTAAAGGTTAGGTTATCGTTCAGATTTTAGACGTAAGTAAAGTATCTATCAAGGGTTAAGGTTAGAGTTTGTTCATTGGTTAGTATCAATGTTTACTGTTTTGTTATGGTTGGAGGTATGTCTATTTACGACTCTTACTTTAAGAATATAGGTCATGCAATCGTATGTACATTTCTCTAACCGTTTCTTCTTTAAGTAAAGTATTTTATACAAAAAACCATGTGGATTTGCTAAAATTTATTTCTACAGGTACCAAATTTATATTTCTAATTATTTTTTTTATTCGTTTCTTATTCCTATGGAAGCTCTGTATATAGTGGACGCAATGAGAAACACAAGCAAACATTTAATAAAATAGATACAAAATATATAATGAAAAATACAGGCTTACAATGGAAAATTATGAAATGGGTTAATTATTTTAATAATTGACCATGCTGTTTTCCGTTTTTTTATTGTCTCGTATATACGAAGTATAGAGAAAGTCTTGTAATCGTGCAAAAAAAAAAAAAAAAATCGAGATTTTTGCAAATCTCGACGTTTTACATCTCACTGATACGGAAAAACAGAATTTTGCAATCTTGTCCGTATGTCTCTGTGTGTGTGTGTGTCCGTGTGTAAACACAATAACTTGAGTACCGTTACAGCTAGGTTGATGAAATTTCATATACAAGTATTTTATCAAAATCGTAGATCCGTATCAACTTTTGCGCGATTTCGGATAACCGGAAGTGGTACTTTTTCTACTTTGAATTTTTCAAAAGCCTATAACTTGAGTACTATTTCAGATAGATAAATGAAATTTGATATGTAAGTAAAAGATCTAATTCTCTACCTTCTGTCAAATTTTGAGAATTTTTCGTTGACCGGAAGTACTTATTTACGCTACTTCCGATTTCTCAAAAAACTAATGTAAATTTTAAAAGTACTAATAATATTGCGCACTATTATGCGCTTTTTTATTCGCGTTCACTTGGTGTGCAATTAATTTGTCTACGAGATTTTATTCTATTTTTAAAACTTTAAGTATTTAAAATGGATTAAAAATCATGTCTAGAAGTCTATAGCCCGAGTTCCCATCCCCTGTTATTTTATATAAGAATATTCGAGAAAGTTTAGGGGAGATCACTCCCGGTTTATTTTCTTAGTCAGACTGTTACTCTGACTAAATAGCAAAATACAAGATGATCCGTGTTGATCTCATACACAAATTATTTGAAAAAAATCTTATCAGTCACCTGTTACAAGTAATGTAAATTAACCATGTAGATCAGGAGTCAGCAACTTTTTAGAAGGAAGCGCCAAAAGTTATATTTTACAAAAAATTTCCCAGATTTTAGAGAGCCAATAGCATTTTTATTTCAATTATTATGGTATTTGATTAGGATTAGGTATATGAATTTGATTTAAAAAAAAATAAATAGCTTTAAATATGAAACAATATTTATTCATAAAAAAACATACATTGTTTCCGCACAAAATATATACCATTATTTTAGCTAGCTATTTTTTAATAATAAAATTAGAAATCCTATATTTTGGCTACAGTTATTGAATAATATTTATAATAATTACTCAATGGTAGCCAGTGGCGTAGCGAGGTCGGGTGTCACCCGGTGCGGCACTTAATGGTGTCACCCCCCCCCAGAGGCATAGAGACCCTTCCCAGGGACAAACATTCAAATTTTCGATTTGCACCCCCCTCAAGTTTTCGATTTGCACCCCCCCTCAAGTTTTTGATTTGCACCCCCCCCCCCTCAAACTTTCGATTTGCACCCCCTCCCCTCAAGTTTTTCTCTATATATTTTGTTTGCTATTTTTTGCCTTGGTGTCACCCCCCTAAATGGTGTCACCCGGTGCGGTCCGCACCCCCCGCCCCCCCTTGCTACGCCCCTGATGGTAGCATTGGCCTCTTGCATGCATTTTGATAGTTTGTTCTATCTGACGTTTTAGCTTGTTGTTTTTAGTTTCAAGCATGCCTATAGATTTATATTTGTTAGTTTCTTTTCTTTTATTTATTTATATTCAAGCAAGAGAACACTTGCTTGCACGAAACTGTTGACCTGAAGCTCGTTATCACTCTGACTCCATTTTCTTCACCTAACTAGCATCCTGCAAGACTATTTCATAGGTCAAATATAAGTGCCTCAACTCGCGGCATTTCTTTTAGAACTGTCCACTTGTCCAGCGTAACGTTCATGTCTTTTTGGACCCCCAACTCTTCTAACTTGCTCTTAAGCAGTGTTTCTTCCAGACTTTTTTCTCCCGGGGGGGGGGGGGGGGCACTTGAAATTTCCGGAGGGGGGGGGCGGTAGACTTTCTTCGGGGGGGGGGGGGAAGGGGTGGACACTGTTAAAAGTATATATTTTCTATATAAATTTCATTTCGTTAGGGGGGGGGGGGGCGGTGAGCTTTCTTCGGGGGTGGGGGGGGGGGTGGTTGGGCGGCCCCGAAGAGATGCCTGGAATTAACTCTGCTCTTAAGATTGATGAACTACCACTCCATGAACGTTTGGTTTTCAAATCAAGCAATGGCTTTTGAAGCGAACCAGCATCAATTCCAAATGGCTCAATGTTGATTTACTTTGCATTTGTTTTGAGAGGAAGTAATATATTAATCAAATATTGTTGTACCTTTGGACGTTCGAATGTATAACAATGTATTTTAAAAAGATATAAGAAGAGCACAGATATGGAGAACCGCACGTTGCCGATCCATATTCGCATTAGGAACGTAATAGTGTTGCTAACAAATGTTTATTTATAATAATAAAATACATTTAGTACTTGTACTGTTTTCAAATTAATTTTTTAAAATTTAAATTTTAAAAAATATTGAAATTTAACTGAACGCGTTTTATTTGTCCATGAGTAATTTTTAATGTGTGGAAGATATGTAAAATGAAAATGAGTTTTTATTAATTTTCAATTAGAAATACTGGCATATGTCTCTCAACAGATTTTAATGCAAGTTATCTTCTCTTTGTCCCTTAGAATCTAGAATCAGATACTTTTAATTAAGATTACAACATTAATTTCCTCTTTTTCGTTGCAAGTAATTTATTTGCAATTAATTTGTATTAAAATTGAAATGCATAGTTTTTAATTTATGATTTTTTTTCAAGTAGTTTTTTTTTATATTATTGATTTAACTGCATTTGAAATAAATAATTTCGTCATTGTGGGAATTCCCTATTCTGTGCGCGTCCATTCAAAAATAGGAAAAACCCGTTCTTCTGTAAAAATAAAATTTTCTGTTCTTTTTAGTTGTCCGCCGTTCTAAACATTGAGCGGTCGGCTGTGAACGTCATCCACTGATTTAAAACAAGCACGAAACAGCACGTAAGTTACTTGGTTTTCATGATTGAATTACATAAACTATGAGTTAGTCTGTATCGTTTTAGAAAAAAGTTGAATGGTCGAATATTTGTCTCTGTCCGCAAAAACATGTGCCTTCTATATTAGTCTATGTCAGGGGTCGCCAAAAGTTACAATTTTCAAAATTTTCCTGGTTTTAAAGAGCCACTAACATTTTTTTATTACAAGTATTTTATTTTTTTATTAAGATTATTAGTATTTGTGCAAGGAACTGGAGAGCCGCATCTTGACATCAAAAGAGCCGCATGCGGCTCGCGAGCCGCAGGTTGCCGACCCCTGGTCTATGTGGTCATCCATAAATGACGTCCCGCTTTTTTGACGATTTTTACCCCCCCCCCTCCCCTTCGTCACACGTCGTCACAAAAAGCCACCCCCCCTAAAATCTCGTCACACCTCAGTCAACAACACCCCCCCCCCCCCTCAAAAGGGCTGTTGAATTTTTCTTAAAACATCGATATTTTTCCAAAATCATGTCAGAACTATGTCAGCATAGAGTCTTTTGATCAATTCCTATTACAATTTATTAAAACCGTTTTGTAAAATGCGAAATAATGGCTAAAACTTGTTTTCTAACATTGCTTTTTTTATAATGCAAAAGTGTGACGTCACACCATCTGAACCCCTTCGCCACCTCCCCCTCATCACACATCGTTACAAAATTACGGACCCCCCCTCCACCCTACGAATGTGACATAACCAGGGGCGTAGCGAGGGGGGGGGGGCGGGGGGGGGGTGCGGATCGCACCGGGTGACACCATTTAGGGGGGTGACACCAAGGCAAAAAATAGCAAACAAAATATATAGAGAAAAACTTGAGGGGGGGGTGCAAATCGAAAACTTGAAAGTTTGTCCCCGGGAAGGGTCGCTACGCCTCTGGGGGGGGGGGTGACACCATTAAGTGCAGCACCGGGTGACACCCGACTTCGCTACGCCACTGGACATAACAACATAATATTGTGTGTATAGGCATACCAGAATCAAGTAACTCGTTAAAATTCTTTTTTTTTTTAAAAGAAATGGCGCTACAAGAATAAGAATGACGTTAGACAGCTATGAATAACACTGACATCGATGAACTTTTTAAAGGTAAAAATGTATTATATATACACCAACACAAACACACAGAGATACACAGAAACACTAACGCACTTATATAACTATAACTATTAATATAAATAAATAAATAAATGACAAGGACATCGATGATCTTTTTAAAGGTAAAAATGTATTATATATACACAAACAAACACACACACGGGCACACTCACAGACACACGCACGCACATATATAACTCTAACTATATATATATAAATAAATGTATATATATATATATATATATATATATATATATATATATATATATATATATAATACAATACAATACCGCTGTGTAACATTTTAAATGAAGAAAAATAAAAAGGGAAAAATATGCTTCAGTGTTAGTAAATCCTACACCATGCAATCTCTTATGAAATAATCTGTTCACGGTCTTTAGAAAATAAATGTTTTAAAAGAAATTTCGTTATACTATGTGTACCCCTATATATTCAATTAACGTATTCTTTATAGTACAAAACCTAACAAGCAGTTCAAAAAAATTATTTATTCTCATAATAATTTTCTCCATCTAATTCTCGTATTGATTTTCTTCATCTAAATCTCATACTGATTTCCTTGATCTAATTCTCATATTGATTGTCTCCATCTAATTCTCGAATTGATTTTCTTCATCTTATTCCCGTATCAATTTTCTCCATCAATCCCTAGGACCAATAGAGTTCGAAGATTCCCTATTTGCAGAAGAAAAACAACTTCGCCCATGCTACAAAGAAGAACACCACAAAGATTTTATCCCCGTGTCTGACTTCAGTGTCAACAGTCTCCCCCCGGATTACAGAGATATGGATTTGTTTAATCTGATAACCCACCAAATCTCCTTGACCGTTAGCATCTCTATCGAGTTCACTAGCACCCGACGACCGGAATTCTACCCTGGAACCACTGACCAGTACCCGGCCTTGAACTTTAGAGGTCAGAGTAAACTCCGAACCGGAAGTGGGTTTGTGTGTAGGGTGGTCAAGCAGGAAGAGTCGCCGTGTCAGTGTGTGGATTGTAAGACGATCGAGTCCCCGAAAAGAGAGTGGGGTGAGATCAACGTGTTTACGACATCCCACGTCGTGTTCGATGAGTCGGAGACCAAACACACCAGCTGTCGGTTCTTTTACGACAATGTGGATAGCGAGAAGCGTATCATCAGAGCGGAGCGGATTGTACGGTGTAACTTAGAGAAAGACTGGTGTAGGTTAAACTTAATCACACATGATATTGACCTCCTGGATAAGCTAGAACACCATCTTGAACAATTTGATCAGTATTGTCAAACTGTAGAAGATAAATACTCGCCTATCGGCGAGATGCATAAATTAACCGTCATTGTCTCGCATTCCCATGGCAACCCCAAGATGGTGTCTATTGGGGAATGGCAACATAAGAGAAGGAAGGGGAAATACGGGGATCACGTGTACACGTACACCACCCCTACCTGCCCGGGAAGTAGCGGGGCGTATGTGTACATTATGGGCGGGGGGAAACAGTCGTACGACTACCTACATAAAGGGTGTGTAAAGGGATCGGACTTGAAACTAAACTACAGCACCCGTGGGTGGGAGACGTTGTGAGTGGGATGTCTGATGAAGTCTTTTGGTCGAAACGTTGCGTGTGAGTTTCTATCATTTCTGTTGTGTTCTAAGAATTTTATAAAAAAAATATTGTTTTTTTTTTGTGAATTATTGCATCGGATTCTGATTGAGCCCTGTTTGCATTTTTTTTTTCATAAGATGCACATTAATGCACATTTATTTCTTACAAAATGTGAGTTTTGTATTGTTTTTTTTCTGTTTACACTGAAACTTTACTCACAGTGTTATTGTATTACTGTATTGTGTTCACTTTTAAAAAATAATTTCAACGGCTGTGATTCCTTTTTGTTTGTGAAATAAAGAAAAAAAATGATAAACTCTTTTTTTTTACTTTAACTTACCAATTAATTAATTCATAATTAATAATAAAGATTAATATTATACTAATACAATTATAAGAATGAAAAATATTGCTTAATACAAGAACACAGTCAAGATTTGTTCTTGCAACTCCATGCTTAAAGATGGTATTGTTAAATAGCAGGTTTACAGCTAATGGCGTTACTTGGTCGTTTGTCACACAATACGTGACTTAGGTTGTCTACCATTACAGTGACTTAGGTTGTCTACCATTACAGTGACTGAGTGTGTCACACAGTACAGTGACTGACGGTGTCATACAGTACAGTGACTTAGGGTGTCTACCATTACAGTGACTTAGTGTATCAACCATTACATTGACTTAGAATGTCTACCATTACATTGACTTAGAGTGTCAACCATTACATTGACTTAGGGTGTCTACCATTACATTGACTTAGGGTGTCTACCATTACATTGACTTAGGGTGTCTACCATTACATTGACTTAGGGTGTCTACCATTACATTGACTTAGGGTGTCTACCATTACATTGACTTAGGGTGTCTACCATTATAGTGACTAAGGGTGTCACACAGTATAGTGACTGAGGGTGTCACCCACTACAGCGACTGAAGGTGTCATCCTACCCTACTCCAACAATATTAACCTTTCTGTTAGAATTTACCCCTCTACCTTGATGTTGTATTATTTTAACTGGATAAAACTTTTGTTTTCCAGTGAGCTTAAGGAATTGTCATCATGATGCCCCCCCCCCCAACACTTAAATAGTTAAAAACGCTGCTGACAAGAAACCCCGCCCCCAACTTTGTGTCCAAGTGTCTCGGAAAATTTTAACTTAAGCCCTCAACAGAAGGAGATACAAAGTTTCACTGTGCATTTTCAGCCCATCCAACACTATTCTCAACGACACTGTATTGTGGAAACAATAAAAAAATGTGTAACAAATATAAACATCAACTGTAGAGATTACGTAATCAAAAATTAATGCGTTGTTTATGTTTTTTTTTTAGTAATATAAATGCTGATCTATTGAATTTTTCGAGTGATTATTGATTTTTTCATTACGTGGCTTAGATTTCGAGTGTATACATTTCGTCAGATTAACGTCAGATGTACACGAAAAAAAAACAAAAAAAAAAAACAAAATACAAACCCAATTCGACATAGATATTCTAAATGTGAACCTAGCCATGATCCTAAATTAACTCTAAACCTGAACAGTCACGTGTCTCGCTCGAACGTCAACAGCAAAACCAGGCATAAGTCAATCTAAGAAAACATATTCCACCATAACGGTTCCGCTCAAATAATTCACCACGTCAGTCTTACAAAGGGATCGATGTTTATAAATATAACTCCAATCGTGTCAGTATAGTATAAAAAAAATACTCCACCCTAACAGTTCCACTAGAATAGTCCGCCACGTCAGTCTTACAGAGGGATCGATGTTTATAAATATAACTTATTCCAATCATCTCAATATAATATGACTAATTTTTATTAGTCTGCTGTTTTTAGTTGTTTTTTTTTTTTCTGCTAAAGAAACTAATCTATTGGTAACTAGTAAACATAATTATTTTTCAAAAGTATACACAAGTTAGCTTATAGTTAAGAGGTTGATATTGTCAAGTTGTTTTCGTGGACGTACAAAAAGTCCACACAAAAAAACGCCACACCCAAGAGATCATAAACATTTGTGGAAAAAAAAACCCAGAAAAAACCCCCACCTCAGATAAATATTTGGATATGAGCAGATTTACCCTGTGTCTTTATCTAAGCTTAAAAATTGTGCACGTATAACTTAAAGCTGCAAATACATGAAATACCCAAGATCTAAATGTACACATTGCAATAATGCATAGAAACAAACAACAGATATATTTTTAATTTTAATTTTTTCAAGGCAAAATTCTAGTAAGATAAGATTCTAGCTTCTTTTCTCTCTCTTCTTTTAAGCACATTATAGGCCTTCATTATTTGTAAAACAATAATTACAATATTCAACATTGTCTATTCTAAAACATAAAGGAAACTAGGTATTTAAGCTTCTGAAAGAAAAAAAAATTCACGTTGTACCTGTTAAAGTTAGGTTTAAAAAAATAAATTTACAGTACGTAATTGTTTTGATAGTTTCTAAACCTTCCACGTTATTCTACATTAAAGTCCCCTCTCCCCCGGCACTAGAAGTGTGACGTCATATATAGTTCAACCCTTTAACAAAAACTATATAAAAAAAATAAGTAGAGGGCTGTAAAGTCTCGTATGAACTGGAAGTAAACAATTTCTGGATTCTATTTCTGGGTTTATCACACCATCGCGTGTTGCACACAGCCGCGTGTGATTTCCTTCCTGCAACGTTTGTTTTTCCTGAAAAAAAATCACTTCACTTAGAAAGTCACGTGATAGTCGTACGATCGTTTAGGCTGACCCAAACCACGTCAGGTTAATGTTGTGACTTAACGTCATAACGGGAATTCCCACCGCTCTATTTATATTTACTCCAATTTGTGTCAAACAGTCAGTATTGGTCCCTGTTGCAAACACAATACGTTGTGACCAATTGAAAGACAGAAGATCTAATCAAGTATTGCATAAACGAGTTCTAGATTCTACGATGTCGCCGTTGGAACATTGTTCTAAGATGCTGGGTATGTTGATATATTTGAGAGCATTTTGTTTGGTTAAAAACAATTTTGTTGACGATTTAAAAACGATTTATCTCCCTTTATGCTAGCTTTTTAAAAAGTGCCTGATTTTATTGACGCTTCTGTCGGTTTGAAAATACAATAACATAACAAATGTGTATATAAACATACATACATGCATATATATTATATATATATATATATATATATATATATATATATATATATATATATATATATATATATATATATGTGTGTGTGTGTGTGTGTGTGTGTGTGTGTGTGTGTGTTCATCACACTTAACTGAACAATTTCTGAACATTATCTCGTTATGACTCAATATTTTGAGAAACTATTGATAAGGAAAATGATTACGTTACATTTCATATATTTGCTGGTGTGAAATATTTTATGTAAGAGGGTGGATATACATGGCATCATGCAGTCGCTGGCATATTTTACATCCATTCCTTGCCGTCACATGTATCTGCACATGGCATGATACTCCTCCTATCAACAAACTCGCTTCCCCTTTTTCCTTAATTCAACTGTAGTTCAAAAAAAATAAATCTCCTTCCTCCCTTCTCCATTTTTTTCACTTAATCCCTAATTAGTTCTTGACGTCATCATTGGACTAAATGAAGTGCTTCTTGTTTTTGCAGATGTACAGAACCCATGCCAACAAATTCTGGGTCCCAGACAGTCCGTCAGTTGCTGCTGTACCTGGTCTTCGGCTGACATGTTCGTCACGACTTGACATAAGCTCCTCCCGCTTTTGTCTTGTTTAAAGCCATAATTTACTTGTCAAAAGTTTGTTTCGTTTTATAAGTACGTTTAGTTGTATAACTAATTTTGTGTTTTTAATGTTTTATAATTTTATCATTATGAGCATGTGTCTTTGAAGCGACATGTCAGCCAATAGACTAATGTCTGATTAGAGGGGTTGAAACAATGAATCGTTCCTCTTAGTATGGCAAAGAACACAAGAAAAGGGAAGTAACCACTGCTTGCCAATGTATAGCAGGAGTGTACTTTAATCATACTTTATTGCAACTAAATGCTTTTGTTACATTTTTTTCTATACTTGGTAATTTATCTCGATAAGAATTGTGTATGTGCGTGTGTGTGAATATGTGTCAGTGTGTGTGGAATGTCGATATGACTTTTGAAAGCTTTTTTTATATCCTTATTTTCAATCTTATTTCAGGTATGAGCATATTAAAATCAGTGTCTGGGTAATATTTAATGGCTAAACAAGTAACAAATAAGCTTTTTGAAGGTAATAATCAATATGACGTAGGCACGTTGTTGATCAAGTTAGATTGTACGTCTAGTTTCAACGTGGTCGAATTATTTGAACAAACACTGGCCAGATTCTGAAATCTGAATAAATCTTACATTCTGAATTATTTAAGTGTGGAAGATAAACAAGCATATTTTAAAACTTTTTTAAAGTGTATATTAAGATAAGCTAAGGTAAGCAATGTATTGATGAATACGAATTCAGCACAACGTTGAATTCCAAATTATACTCATCAACTGTTTGTAATAATTGATTACACACACACACACACACACACACACACATATATATATATATATATATATATATATATATATATATATATATATATATATATATATATATATATATATATATATATATATATATATAAATAAATAAATAAATAAATATATATATATATATATATATATATATATATATATATATATATATATATATATATATATATATATATATATATATATATATATATATATATATATATATACATATGACGTGTATTATAGGTGGACTGGAGGTCGACGTGCTGGAGAGAGACGAAGGTATAGGAGCAAAGCGTTGCAAGAAAAATCCAGGCCATAAACACTTTATACCCTGCAAAGACTTTACAATCAACCACTTGCCTGTACAATACAGAGACGTTAGAGTTTACCTGCTGATACAATGGCTGATCAGACTCACAGTCATGATCACTGTGGGTTTCGTCAGCGAGAAGAGACCGGATTTTTACCCCGGGACTGAACAAGCATATCCAGCTTCCGGTAAGAAAGGGAAGTCAGTCAACATGAAAGGTAGTGGGAAAGTGTGTAAGGTGACGAAATTCTCTGAGAAAGATAACCGGACTTGTGAATGTAGGAGTTGTAAGAACTCTACCGAGCCTAAGAAAATCTGGGGTGTTATTAATATCTTCACTGCGACGCATGTTGTACATGACGATTCCGAGGTGAAGAGTTCCGTGTGTACTTTCGATTTCGACAGGGAGGGGAGTGTTGTGGTGGAACTCCAGGCGGAGGCGTTGGTGAGGGCCAGCGCGGAGAAGGACTGGTGCCGGTTGAGCTGTGTGACCCATGACGTGGAGATGCTTCAGAAACTGGAACACGCGTTAGAGAAATTCGACGAATGCTGTCAAAAAGTTCAGGACATATTTCAACCAATCACAGACGAGGATAATTTGACGGTGATCGTTTCCCACCCGCATGGTATTCCAAAACGCGTTTCTATTGGTGAATGGAAGGTGAAGGTCAGGGATGAGCGATGTGGTGACCACACCTACTCGTACACCACGCCCACCTGTGGGGGGAGCAGCGGGGCCTACGTCTACATCCTTGGGGGTGGGAAGCAGTCCTACGACTACTTACACAAAGGCTGCTCCGAATCAAATTACTGCACCAAGGGTTGGGAAACGCTATAGACAGTAAACAATAAAGAACCCAACAATTAAACCGACTTTCGAAATACATAAAGCCAAGAAACTTGAAAAAAATAGTAAAGCTATAAATCTCTATATCACTTTTCCTTATTAGAAATACTTGGGATCTTAAATTTATTTGTGAGCACTGTTGACATTTAAAATCTGATTCAACCATCAAATGAAACTTTGGCATAATCAATTCACTTGGACTACATTTCTATTTTCTTTACATTTTAAACCAAATTTGAACCGAGTATGTTCTGATTATAATCTGAAGTTTATTGATTTTAAGACCAAAGTATATAGTCCTGGATTGGTTACATTTTTAAACATTTTTAGAGATGAAACATAATTATATCAACCTTAAAAATTTTATCAAAATGTATTTATCTTATCAAATATGGGAATCCTATCTATGTGATTAAAACTTCATAAGGGATATAGGCCTAGTCGCTCAATATCGTAATACAATATACTCATTGTCAGTGGCGTAGCGAGGTCGGGTGTCACCCGGTGCGGCACTTAATGGTGTCATCCCCCAGAGGCGCAACGACCCTTCCCGGGGACAAACTTTCAATTTTCGATTTACACCCCCCCCCCCTTCAAACTTTCGATTTGCACCCCCCCCCTCAAACCTTCGATTTGCACCCCCCTCCCTCAAACTTTCGATTTGCACCCCCCACCTCTTAAAAGGCTATTTAACACTCTAATTGATCACTCTATTAAGTGGAATTATCATTTTTCTCTACATATTTTGCTATTTTTTGCCTTGGTGTCACCCCCCTAAATGGTGCCACCCGGTGCGGTCCGCACCCCCCTCGCTACGCCCCTGCTCATTGTTAATCCGCCTTCTTCAGATATTACATGGAAACAACATTAAAAAAAAACAAATTTGGACTATACATCCTACTATTTCAACTACAGTTATCAAGCAAGCCTAATGGCTGTTATATTACACCAAAAAGTCTATGACCAGTCGAAAGCTAACGATGATTTAAACATATTACGACTATTTAGTCGACATAAAACAAATATTATTTCTCCAACAGGAGTAATAACAACGCTTTCAACTTAAACTGGACAACATTAAAATAACAAGTCGTTTAGAAAGATGGTGAAACGTTTATGATTGATGAGAAGAGGATCTTATTACTTATTCGACGTGGCTTTTTATTATTGAACGGGAAGAGCTCCCAGACATAAATTAGACTTTACCAGGGGTCTCCAAACATTTCACCCCGAGAGCCGGATTAACTATCAAATATCAGTTCCCCCCCTTCCCCCACCCAAGAACGTTTACAACCCCCCCCCCCCCCCAACCCAAGAACTTTACCATCCCCCCCCCCAAATATATACGCATGTTAAGTACCCCCACCCCTCTGGGGAAAAAAGTCTGGAAGAAACACTGTCGGGAGCGGACCACACATTTGAAGTCCAAGTTTGTTCTCAAATTATTATTCACGTATTTCAATCCTGAAAATTTTTGTTCACACAGGTATGTTGTTCCAAAAATTGAAAGGTACTTTGATGCAAAAGTTTTGCACCAAAGCTACTTTTCCAAATTGTTTTGAATTTTCTGGGCAAAGTTCCTCAGCCACCTCCAACAATCATTTATTTCCGTGGACAAAAAGATCGCGGGCCGGATGAGAGGACCTCGCGGGCCGCATCAGGCCCGCGGGCCGTAGTTTGGAGACCCCTGCTTTAGACCATCGCTATTCTAATAAGTACCCGTCTGTTACAGTAAATATATACACGGAAATGTGTTATCTAAATTATGCGACTTACTAGCCGTCAGTAAGGAGACGTAAGCATAGCAAAAAAATTTTTAATCAAAGTAACACAACAGTTGTCTATTGCTTTTTTTAAAGACCTATCCGACTTCATTTAAGTGATGACTACATTGATTCGGTATAAGCCCTGTGCAAAAAGCGGTTCATTTGTCGAGGTGTTATTAAACATGTGCAATGGAAAAAGCACACATATTGATGATTACGTAATAAGCGTTTGTTATGCATATCATCATTCATGAAAATCCATATTTTTCACATTATATAGTTTTTATATTATATATGGATTGTACTTTATATATACGGTAATTTATTTCTTTAGTATTTGCTTTGTATTTTCATATTTTGGTGTATGCTATAGGTTAACATGGCTAAATAACTAATAGGGTGGTGGCAGATTTTGTATTTAGATATGCTTTGATTTCTTTTATAATACATTAGCATGCATTTATTTTACTTGTAAAAGTCTATGCAGTGTTTTAAAATTCTGTGATTAGATAGAACTTATTATAAGAATAATAAAGTTTGCTATTTTTATCTACATATGTTGTCGATCCTTATTTATTGTGTTGGTTACAGCTAATAATTCACTCGTCTTATTAATACACTTACAAACTCAAAGAATGGAAAGAATATATTAAAAAATATTATTTTAATATATAAATATAGGCATATATATATATATATATATATATATATATATATATATATATATATATATATATATATATATATATATATATATAAATATATTTATAAGTTGTTTTAAAAGAAATAGGGGTCATCCTTTACCTCTCCCCCTCCGTCACACATTGTCACAAAAAGCCAGACCCCCCTATAATGACGTCACACCTCAGCCTACAACCCCCTCAAAATTGCAGTTGAATTTTTCTTAAAACATCGATATTTTTCCAAAATCCTGCCAGAACCTTGTCAACACAGAGTATTTTAATCAATTTCTATTACAATTTATCAAAACAGTTTTCTAAAAAGCGAAATAACGGCTAAAACTCATTTTCTAACATTGCTTTTTTATAATGAAAAAAATCTGACCCCCCCCCCCTTTCCCCTATCACACACCATCACAAAATTACGGACCCCCCTCCCCCCTATGAGTGTGACTTCATTTATGGACGACCCCATAATTGGTGTAGGTAATAGGTCAACTTCGTCCTTTCATTACCGCTCCCAAGCAGTTAAACACTATAGGTAGGTCTATTTAATAATTAATAGGCCTAGACTACATACAGAGTAAATCTTTACAAAATAAAAAAAATAATTAAGAAATTGTGATAGATCTATATATATTCTATTAGGCTCTGATGAAAAAAAGATAGTTCTATAAATAGCTCTCAGCTTACTACTATACAATATGAACGATATTTTAACATCTTGAAACATGCGTTTAATTTAGCCTATATTTTAATTAATAACCTATGTACCAATTTTGTTTTATGAATATGATAGTTAACTACCTAATATTTATGTACGTTGGACTAAGTACAAAGTAATCCTATGTACTACGTAGATCTAGATTCATTCTAGATACTAAGTAAGAATATGAAAGTGTTTATATAATATATTATAGTAAATTATATTTTTATTGAAGAGAGGGAAAAAAAACGAAATAAAAAAAAAAAATTAAAACAAATTATAATAATCTAATAAAAATTAGATCTAGATTTAGATCTAGTTTATTTCTGTAGAGCGTTTTGAAAACTATAAATCAAGATTAGGATTTAGGGAAAATCGAATAATAAAAAAATATTTGACATATAAAAATGGGTTTTCCCAAAATTACATTTACAGGAAATTTGTAAAATCAAAAGTGAAAGTAGCAAAACAACATAATTTAAGTCAAGACAATTGAAATCTATCCATGGCGTTTCTTGTTCGGGTTTCACCCTGTGCGGCATCTCATTGTGTCACCCCCATTCTACCCCCCTCCCGGTAAAAGCTATACAGTGTTCAAATTTACTACTAATGTTGCTTATCTATAGTAGGTTGTTAATACAGATGGGTGTAGCATTGTTTTCTCCATAGTTTGCATGTTACGTTATAATGTAGTTTTTCTCACTAAATCTAGAATTTACGCAATTATCAATTTAAACATAACCACTGAATAATAGACATCCATATTTAATCCATTAGGCACTAACTTTGGAGTTTTTAGTTCGTTTTGAACTAAATTAGTTAATTTAATATTTATTGTCAATCACTACCATGTCCAACACATCTCTCCATGACAACTCTTCTTAAGCTTGAAGCTAAAGAAAACCACAAATCAGGTTAGACTCCATGCACAAGAGTTCCTCACTAGTGATCACCAAATAGCGGTCACGTGGTTTTTAAAAAATAAAAATTAATTGGTTGTGATACGGACGCCGGTCTTATAAAAAAACAGCTCACAATATTTGATTTCTTTTTTCATAGACTGATAAAACTAATAATGCTTTACGTTCTCGCTCATTTCTGTACCTACACTGTTGATATTTTTTAAATTCTATTAATTTTAATGAAACCAACTTTTGAATTTAGCCTCCGTTCTCCAAACCAAATTTTAAAATGCTTTTGTGGCATATCTAACCCTGCCACTTATGGTTTGTTGTTATGACACGGAAATCCCGCCATTTTGCGCGTGGTAAACATTTTTAAATGTAATTAGTTGAAGGTCTCTGGAATTTGGCCGAAAAATCACCGGAAATCAGACGTCCGGTCCGGGCGCCATATTGTTGTTAGCAACCGACCACGCATCCAAGTTAGAGAGAAATACTATTATAATGTAAACCCCCTTTGTTGGAATCGTCATTATGTACTTTAAAATACTTTTTAACTCTAATTAATCATCCACTAAACTGGCTAAAACATATTTATTCAAGATATCTTGCAATTGTTTTTGTGTCACCCCCTTCATTGGTGTCACCCGGTTTTAGTCCGCATTCCCCGCCCCCGCCTTGCGACGCCTCTGAATCTATCCAACTTACATTTTAACAATACTTCTATTCAAAAGTGTTAAGATAACACAGAATACGTTCTAAATGTGTAGATTAACTGTTCTATTAATAAACACATTTTAAAATGTTTTCAATCATAACTACTACTAAAGCCAAATTAAATTGTTTTACAAAATTAGAGTTAATATATGAAAAATAAAATATTGTTAATAATCTCTGGATTTATGTAGATTGTGTCAGCAACTGAGAAATGGATGGATGATCCTTCAGAGCAAAACATGACATTTAAAGAGGCTGTGGCTATGATTACTGGAGCTAGTGTGACATTATTTGAACACATTGATATGATCACAGGTATAAGTTTTATTCCATTGAGTTATAATTCCTTGACCTAGGCTATTTATGTTATATGCTTTAAGCTCCATGAATTTTATACCAGAATTATGGATCAAGTTGTAGATGGTATACATTTAATGATTCGTGCAAAGTCATCATACATTATGAATAATAATTCTGCAGTAGTGATGCACTTTGAATTTAGATAAAGGTAGGGCACACATAAATTTGTTGTTTCTTAACTTTAATGAAGGTTTGCATGTGTGAATATGCCAATTTTATTCATGGGGAATGCTGGCCTCAAATAATTGTCCTAGTAATTCTATATAATGCATATATATATATATATATATATATATATATATATATATATATAATTATATATATATAATTATATATATAATTATATATGTAATTATATATATATATATATTTGTTTATATAATTGATAATGATTAAAGAGCTTAAAAGTTTAGTTTACAATATATTCCATCTTTTAAAATTATCCTAATAAAGTAACACATCTGTATTGTCACAACACTTAGTTACCAATAGCTGTGACACAAAAAGAAACAACTTTCATTTTGGTCAATATACACTCTCCCATTATTACTCATACTCCACCCTTCCTCCTACCAAGGCCACTTTTGTAAAGTTATTTTTCAACATATTTTAATGTTTATGAAATATTTACCAATATAAACCCATCACAAGCTTTTTGATTTTTTGAAAATGGAATTTTATATACCTTCCAAATTAAAAAAAACATTAAATACATAAAACACATTTTTTAAATAATCCGTTCACACAGGCCAACTACATCAACCTTTAGATCCAGATGGTGAATCAGTTGCACCAGAGACTATACCAATAAAACCAGCTCAGGGTGTACCATATTCTGCAGATGTTAAATCTATGGGTAAGTTCAATTCCTTAAAAGATTAAAAAAATAAAAATATTGATTATGTTCCATTTCAGATGAAGTTAATTTAAAGATAAGCTCAGAATGATGAAAAGCTGCAAGTGTATTAATACATTGAATTACATGCCCTCTTAAAAAATTACAATACCTTCAATTTCTTTCTTCATACATTCCAAAGATGTTTTTTAATCTATGCATCATGAAATATTATGATACCTACCACTTAGATTCTTTAATTTCCTTCTTCATACACTCTAAAGTTGTTTTATTCTGTGTATAATAAAATCTTATGTTTTGTTACGAAATAAAACGAAAACGGGACTATAAGTAACATAACAATATTAATAATGTTACTATTGCAAATTACGTTTATTTAAACTTTAAATTGCTCCAACCGAAAATTGTTCTCTTCACTTTTCTTCAGGAAATGTTGAAGAAGCCTTAACCAATCTTACAAACAGAATCGACCAGCTTGAATCCAAATTTTTATCTATACTTAATACAAAACAGTTGATCGAAGAGGAAATGTTGTGTTTCAAACAATCAAGAGAAAATTTTGAGTCTGAACTTGTGTTAAAAATTGAAACACTTGGGAAACTGTCGTGTGCCCAAGATGATAAAATAATTGACCTGATGAAGGAAATAAAAAATTTGAAAGAAAAGGAATCAGCTACAAATAAGCAGATAGAGAAACTTACTCATGACACAAAGGAAAATGAAAAAATATTTCTGAAGATTGATCAAGAGTTGCAGAGAAATGCAGATAAAATGGAAAATATTACTAAGGATGTTAAAAATCAATCTAAATTAATTACTACTTTACAAGAAGAACACCTAAAAAATGCTGAACACTCAGCTACCACCCTTAAAAGCATTGGATCTAAGGTAAACATAAATAAATAATGATTGTCTACTTCTGCAATTTCATTCTTAAATTATATAGGCCTACTTAACATTCCATTTTACATGTTAAAATAAATTTGTTTAAAAATTAAAATTTCTAATTATTGTTTAGTTTATCTTTTATTTATATAAAATGCTAAAAACAAATTTGGAAATTATGAATGTAATTACAAATATTTTAAAATTGTTATTCTTCTTATAAAACACAATTGACATTTATTCTAGCAAAAAATATGTAGTAAACAATTCATTTCTTTTAAATAAATAAAATAATTAAAATTATATAGTAATTTTTCTGTTGAGGTGTAATTTTATAAACTAGGGAACTTTAACTTTGTACATATAATTGTCCATACATTTTATGTAATGTTTTTATTATACTTGGTTTTGTAATAGATTGAAATAATTGTGAGGTCAAGGGAACTCACTCTTCTGTATTAGTTATATTTATAATATTGTTATCTTGAGTGATGTCCCTTGTGTACTTCCTTCCGCCCTCTCTGGGTCTTACCATCATGGCGTCTGTACATAATAAAGGCTGTTATATACAACCACAGGCTTCTGTCGTCAATCTATTATAACTGGCGACGAAGGATAAACATCTACTAGAAAGAGCACCTACTTACGCAAAAAAGAGGTTTGCTAGAGCTTATTAGCTAATTATTTCTAGAATTATGGCGCTGTATGGCCAAATAAAAGAATTTGATGCGAATGATGAAATCATTCAAGATTACCTAGAGAGGTTAAGCTTTTACCTAGAAGCTAACGACGTGACGATAGAAGCCAAAAAGAGAGCTGTTTTGTTAACAGTCATAGGGCCTCAACAATTTAGGCTACTAAAGGACTTATGCGCACCAGCTAGTCCAGATACCAAGAGCTTTAACGAGCTGAGCAAATTGCTAACAGACCACCATGCGCCTACCCCATCAAAGTTTTTATGTAGAGCTAGATTTGACAGTAGGACTCGTCAACCAAACGAGTCAATAACAGAATATGTTGCTGCTTTACGTCATTTAAGTAGATTTTGTGAATTCGGCGATACGCTGTCTGACAGACTATGTGAAAAGTTTGTGACAGGTGTAAACAGCCCTGATATTCAAAGAAAGTTGCTGCTCGAGTCAGATCTAAAATTGGAAAAAGCAATACAACTTGCAATGTCATTCCAGCAGTCATCAGATGCGGTGAGATCTTTAGCACCTTCAGAGATCCATGCAGTAAACAGCAGGTTAGTCAATAAACATCAACCCCATCAGAGCATTCCAACTTATGCTAAACAGCCTGCTCGTTCAAATCCTAGATCTAAATCTAGTAATAATTATCAAAAATGTCATCGATGCAAAGGTCCCCATGCATCTCATCGGTGCAAGTTCAAGTCTGCAACTTGTTATAAGTGCGGTAAGCAAGGTCACATTGCTAAGGCCTGCTTTGCAAAGTCTTCGTCTGTTGCTAAATCTAGCCAGTCAAGACAGTACCGCAACCAAAAGCAGCACTATGTTAACTCTCACCAAGACTACCTAACCCAACCAATGAACCACTCTACCTGTGAAAATTCTCAAACTGATTCGCAGCCGGATTTCAGCCTGTTCTCTGTGAAATCAATGAGTCATGCTCCCATCAATGTACAAGTTAATATCAACGGTAAGAGCATCAGCTTCCAACTTGACACTGGAGCATCTCTAACAGTCATAACAAAGAAAGATTTTGACGCTGTCACAGGAGGATCAGTGTCTCTACAGCCGTGTCACAAGTGTCTAACAACATACACTGGTGACAATGTTCCGGTAATAGGAGAGTGTATGGTTCATGTAAGTTATAATGGTCAAAGTGTTAAACTTCCTCTTCTTGTGGTTGAAGGAAATGGACCGCCATTACTAGGTAGGAACTGGTTAAGTGATCTTAAGTTAAATTGGGAGAGTATTTGTTCATTGAAGAATGTAAAAGAATCTAGTCTTACTTCACTAGATAAAGTAATATCTGAAAATAAATGTGTTTTTGGTAATCATGGATTACTAAATGATAGAACAGTGAAGTTAAGCATTAAAGACACAAATCCAAGATACTGCAAAGCTAGAGTTCCACCTTATGCAATGAGGAATAAAATTGAAAATGAGCTAAGTAGATTGGAATCTAATGGCATTATAAAGAAGGTAGACTATTCCGATTGGGCGACACCCATTGTGCCAGTGTTAAAGAAGGATGGTTCTATAAGAATTTGTGGAGATTATAAAACTACACTGAATAAGCAAATAGAGCTAAATAGGTACCCTATACCTAACATTGAGGAAATTTCTTTGAATTTGGCAGGAGGAGACAAATTCACTGAATTAGACTTTAGTCATGCTTACACTCAACTAGAACTGCATCCAGATTCAAAAGTCTATACGACAATAAACACACATAAAGGACTCTACCAATATGAAAGACTATGTTTTGGCATATCATCTAGCCCTGGAATTTTCCAAGCGGTCATGGACAGTATTTTTAAGGATATGCCAAATGTTTGTGTGTACTTTGACAATGTGTACATAACTGGTAAGAATGACACTGAACATCTTAAAACACTAGATAAAGTCTTGAAAATTGTTGGTGGAAAAGGTTTAAAGATAAACAAAGATAAATGTCAATTCATGCTGACAGAAATTAGTTTTCTTGGTTATATATTAAGCAAACAAGGCATCAGACCTCAACCTGAGAAAACAAAAGCCATTAAAGAAGCACCCAAACCTGAAAATACCCAACAACTAAGAGCTTTTTTGGGCTTGATAAATTACTATGCAAAGTTCATAGGAAATCTGTCTGGTAAACTATCACCACTGTACAAGCTGCTACAGAAAAATGCAACTTGGCACTGGGGTAAACAACAAGAAGCTGCTTTTAACACAGCAAAAGAGGCTTTGTCTGCTGACACCTTACTAACTCACTATGACCCAGGGAAAAGACTTATATTAACATGTGATGCTTCACCAGATGGTGTAGGAGCAGTCTTGTCCCACATGGATGAGAAGGGTGACAGACCCATTGCTTTTGCCAGTAGATCTTTGAACCAGGCTGAGAAAAATTATTCTCAGTTAGATAGGGAAGGCTTAGGCATCATTTTTGGTGTTAAGAAATTTCATAAGTTCCTGTTTGGTAGGAAGTTCACCATCTTTACAGATCATAAACCATTGCTAGGTTTATTTGGAGAAAACAAAACCCTACCTGAGCATGCCTCACCAAGAATTCAAAGATGGGCTATCACACTAACTGCATACAATTATGAATTGAAATACAAACCTGGATCTGAGAATAGTGCAGATAGTCTTAGTAGATTACCTTTAAAAAACCAAAGCCTGAGCTATGTACCAGAAGATGTATTTGTTCTCTTCACAATCATGGATAACTCCAATATAAATGTGAATGATATTAAGAGAGAAACACAAAAAGATGAGTGCTTAATAAAAGTATATGAGTACTGTAAGAATGGTTGGCCTGAAGAGTCTGTGAATGATGACTTAAGGCCATATTAAATAAGAAATAAAAACCTTTGTGAAGATAATATAAAAGATGGAGAAAATGCAGTCCATTATCAGTCAGAGTTGCCTAAACAAAGTATTTGTAATTTAATAAATGATTATGGTGATATGGCAATTTCAAATGTTTTAAAGAGAATACATTAGTAAGAAGGAATGTGATCATCAAACAACTTTGCTAACATCATTAGCACTTACAGAAACTAAAAGGGTAACATCAAAAGAAAAGAAAAAGGATTTTTGCCATTTAATACACCCACTTCAAATACTGGATCACAGTTGCAAAGTGATATTGTCCAGGATATTACTTTTAAACAGTATTTTTGGTTACCAAAAAGCACTATCAGATTACATGAGGAAATTGATCAATCAAAGAAATCTATGCCAGTTAAGGATCTGAATAATAGCATAATACTTTCAGATGCCAATTAAAAAAGTAAATCATGACAAACATTCATTGAAAGAGAATTTGGTGTTAATAAGAATGTGTATCTAAGAAATTATGGGAGAAAGGAAAAATGGATACCAGGTCAAATTGTTCAAGGTACAGGACCTGTGTCTTATAAAGTTAAAAATAACTTGTGCAGATAATAAGTGTGAATCTGTCAATCCCACCAAATCTGAACAGTTCACACCAACTCAGTTGTTCCACAACCAAGTTCTGTTGATATGAGTGAACCAAGTTGTCTGGAGTCAGAAAATGTAAATTCTGGAGTTAATGATTTAAATCCTAGACCTCCTGAGATAGAGAATCCAGATGGTCAGAATCTTGAGTCACCAAATCAAAAGCCACTGAGAAGGTCAAGCAGGACAATCAAAGTCCCAAATAAGTTAGACCTATGATTCTAAAGGTCAAAAGGACTTTGACATTATTGTTTTGTATTTTGATTATGTTGTAGCATATTGTGCATTGTTTGTAAGGATGTAATCTACCATAGTGTTCATGTTACAATATAATTGGTGATTTTAGGATACTATCAATTGTTCTATTGAGAGATGTGTTATTGTGTTCTAAGGGTAAAGGGATGTAATAGATTGAAATAATTGTGAGGTCAAGGGAACTCACTCTTCTGTATTAGTTATATTTATAATATTGTTATCTTGAGTGATGTCCCTTGTGTACTTCCTTCCGCCCTCTCTGGGTCTTACCATCATGGCGTCTGTACATAATAAAGGCTGTTATATACAACCACAGGCTTCTGTCGTCAATCTATTATAGGTTTCAATTTTTTTTCCAACATTGTGAATCCTAGTATGGTGTGATGTGCAAAATACTGCAGAAAAGATTAGCACCAGTTGAAAAACTTATGCTAAATGCTAATCAGACCACAGTGAAAAATGAACCGAATTTACAAATGGTAAGTTCTGTCATATCACCTTTCCTAATCTACCCTGCTTTCTTACATGCCAATATCTAAGCCTCTGAAAATAGTGTAAATGTTGTCACTATATATCCGTGAAAGTGTTTATAAATTCTGTAAATTAATTCCTAGGTTGAATCGTCTGACAAGTCTTTAAATGTTCGATTGGATAAAACCTGTGAGTACGGTTTTAATTACTCATAATAGATGTAGCTCAGATTATTTTATAATTTTTTGTGTGTTTTTGTGTAATAATAATCATTTTATAACTCTAAATATTTTCAGTTTTTATTTAAAATTCGGCAATATCATAAAATATGCAACCATTTTTTGTACTATATCTTCTTGAGTTTTGAGTTCAACGGATTAGATCTATTTGTCATAAGAATGTATATTTAATTGATATTTAAACTAATCGATAATTTTCATTTTCAAGGGCCAAGACAGCTTAAACATTATGAGATCGGTTTCAAAGCACTCAATGGAAAATTTGAATGTCGTTTGAACGATTTACGGCCTGCACTAATTTCTTTCGAACATGTTGATTGTTATATAGACAATGTAATAATGAAGCCATGGGCTACGTTTACTATTCCTGTCGAGGGCATATACACAATGGGAACAGGACATTTCCCCCCTGTCAATTACCCCCCGGATATTTCCCCCCCGACATTACCCCCCAGAGTAATTACCCCCCCTGTCAATTACCCCCCTGTCAATTACCCCCCGCCCAGTAGGACATTACCCCCCCCCCCCCCTGGACAGGGTTAGAGTTAGGGTTAGGGCTGGGTTTAGGGTTAGGTTTAGGTTTAGGGCTAGGGCTAGGGTTAGGGCTAGGGTTAGGCTTAGTGTTAGGTTTTAGGGCTAGGGTTAGGGTTAGGGTTAGGATTAGGATTTGGGTTAGGGCTAGGGCTAGGGCTAGGGTTAGGGTTAGGGTTAAGATTAGGGCTAGGGCTAGGGCTAGGGTTAGGGTTAGGGTTAGGGTTAGGGTTAAGATTAGGGTTAGGGCTAGGGTTAAAGTTAGAGCTAGTGTTAGGGTTAGGGTTGTGTCTAGCTTTGATTTTGGCTTTGTGTGAAGTTTTAGGCTAAGGTGGATGCTTAGGTTTTGGTCTTTTTCTTAAGGTTTGGATTAAAGTAGTATATAGGTATAAAATTCTAGTTAGAGTTAGGATTTTAACTTGAGAAGGGGGGGTAATTTCCCGGGGGGGGGTAATTGACAGGGGGGTAATTGCCCCGGGGGGTAAATACGGGGGGGAAATGTCCGGGGGGGGGGAATATCCAGGGGGGTAATGTCCTGTAGCCATACACAATAGCTCTAGCCTTGAAAACAACAGGGGACACAAATGTACCTGTATTATGTTTTGTAGAGCACTGTCAAGATGGAGACAATTGTCCAAGCGAATTATGTGCCGTCGAGTGTACAGAGAAAGACAGTTCCTCCTCAAAAACATGGACTTTTTGGTTGAAAGCTGGAGATCTGATCACAGTTAGTGGACAGCAAATAGGCCGCTTATTTGCTCAAGCCGAATGTACAATTTTCTCATGTTTTCTTAATTGTGTTTTATAATGTATTATCTATCTAATATCAGTTTTTAACCACTATTCTAAAACATTCACGTTAATTGCAGATATTTTAATTGAAGGAAAGCTTTTCTAGTGGAGATAAAGTGATGGGTGTAATGTTCCACACACATAAATGCTTAAATACCTTAGATTTACATTGTATGAGCGGGTGGATCGGGGAGGGGGAGAGTGGAGGGTTCGGATCGCTCATACTGTCTTAACAATGGGTTCTTTAAGTTAAATACGTTCTTATAGCTAAAATAGTTTAAGTCAGATTGACACCAACCAATAAAATGGTAGGGAGTGTGGGGCTGTGACGTAACGTATTACATATTACAGCATGCATGTCGTATACAATAAAGTAGGGAGATGAAAAACTGCAAAAACGGCCTAAATATTAATTATATATTCGGCAACTTTACAATACTTCATTTTACTCTTAAACATACACTTTTAAAAAAGATGTAAAATGATTATATGACAAATAATCCTCCAGCCTTTTTAGATGAGCTTTATGTCTTTAAGTACATTGAACTTTTTATTTTGTCGGAATACATTTTAAATTATATTATTATTAGTTTTTAACTAATTTAACTTAACATCAGCTAAATCACCACAGCTTTTATCTAGTGATGTTGAAATTGTAGATACCGTAACGCCTACATTTGATTTAAAGAGCGCCTTACAGTGAATTTTATATGAGCTACTTTAATCAACGACTTAACCAAACCATTGTTATTAACAAGGACACTAAACTCCTGAGTTGTACTACAGCATGTGTAGTGATAGTAATGTCACTTCTGTACCTAACCATCTATGCAACCCATATTCCTCCGCCCCCGCTATGTTAAGTAGGCCTATGTGATTGAAATTAACGAAGGCAAAGGTATGATTATAAATTTTACAACATTCTTATGTGATCGTTTATATAAAAGACTAGCAAACCTCATACCTACGCTAAAAAAACACACACGCGCGCGCACACACACACTCACACACACACAGTAAGAGAACCTCAGTGAGAGAGCCTGGGCTAATTATTTTTTAAGAAGAAAGTAGAACTTCATATGATAATAATAGTGCAATATTCCTCATAGCTTTGATTTATTGAAATAATTTATTCAGAAGCTGCTTTGCTTAGATATGATTTTTGTGAGTTTTTTTAAAATGTCGTTTTACATTGCATTTTATTGTGTTTAAAAATACAAATAAGCATAAACTGTTCTTGCTTATAATTAGCCGACACTAAAAGATGTAAACGCCATTTAGCATATCCGGTTCTTTAAAATATTTCTTTTTTACATAACATTTTATTAAATATCAGAGAAATAAAAATACACGTAGAATTGTGAGATTTAACATACATTTGGGATCAGCGTGGCCAGACCGGTAAAGCTAATGGCAGCTAAACTGAAAAGTTCTGAGTTCGAACTTTTAGGTCGATGAAGCTCAATAGCTGAGGACAGCAATGCTTCAAGGAGAGACAAGGGGGGTCATCCATAAATGACGTCACGCTTTTTTTTCGACGAATTTTACCTCACCCCCCCCCTAGACTCCTTCACACATCGTCACAAAAACTAGACCCCCCTAAAATGACGTCACACCTCAGCCTACAACCCCCCCTCCCTCCTCAAAATTGCAGTTGAGTTTTTCTTCAAACATCGATATTTTTCCGAAATCTTGTCAGAAGTCTGTTAACATAGAGTATTTTGATCAATTCCTATTACAATTTATTTAAACCCGTTTCATAAAACGCGAAATAACCGCTAATTTTTTTTTCTAAGATTACTTTTTGTTAATGCAAAAATGTGACGTCCTATTATCTGAACCCCCCCTCCCCCTAATCATACACCGTCGCAAAATACGGACCCCCCTCCCCCCTACGAGTGTGACGTCATTTATGGACGACCCCCCAACTCGAAAGTCAAACAACTTGTAGTTTGACCTTGGCTGGACAACAACTATGGAAGCAAATCTATAAACAAAATCAACCTAACCCGTAATAATTGTGTTGGAGGAAATTGCTGTCAACATTAGATTTAAGAAACAAATTAGAAGAAAACCTAGATTTTATGATTGAAGTTTTATTTTTAAATTGCGTTTTTAATATGGGGAAACATACTTTTCTTAATAATATTTTGAAATATTTAGTTAAAATTAGACATACAGCTCAGAAGCTCGCCTTTTTCCCAACTAAATCGGCCTGATCTTAATCTCTGTAGACGTAGCAGACGCGTAGTAATTGGTCGTGGTGACCCAGGTCAGTCCTGTAGCGTAGGCGGTGCTTCCCCAGAGGCCGTTGAGGTTGGAACTGTGACAGCCCGCGTACCACCACGCACCGTGGTAAACCTCCGCGCAGTTGCTGGCGTGGCTGTCGTTGTCCTTGTCAAACGTGCTGAACTTCTGGTTGTTGTGTGTTTGAGCCAGAGCATCCCCGGCGTTTCCTGAATAACCGCTGACCTTTAACCTGTAACCTTCCGGTTCTCCGTACAATTGAAACCTTGCGTATCTCGCGAAGTAGTCGATGGTGTTGTGTTTAAAATCGACCCGCATCTCGTATCGCCTGAGTGACGTCAGACGGTGAATGTTCTCGTTGCCGAGGTAAAATTCACCTACACCCACATCACCGAAGCCGTACTTGTATTCCTCCCAACCTCGGTAGAAATCTGTTTGTCCGTTGGTTCGTCGCTGTATCACCGTCCACCCTCCCCCGTCCGTCTGCGTGTCACACATCACCTCTAGTCCGCTTGACAGGATGACTACTGGCCTGGGCGAGGAACTGACCACATCCACGCACGTGGTTGGTGCAGGTGGACAGGAAAGTTCTAGAAATGCTTGCTCGGCTGTGTTTTTGTTGACATTGCCTGCAGAAAGTTTTAAGAAATCATTGTCATTGTAAAATTGCAACATTCAAAGTACACAATAAAAAATATTTACTATTGGTATTTTAATTGATTTTCTTCTATTGTATATATTTTCAAGTTATTTTTAAGCATGAAATATATCTAAAACTGCCATTAAATTTAGGAAAATTTTAGGACAGCATAAATTAAAGAGATGATTGGCGATAAAAAAGAATGAATACAATGAATATTCTTATTTACAGTGTCAGCAACGGTATAAAAAAATACCAAATGACTGTAAAAAGTAGAGTAAATTTCCCACTTTAAACCTGACTGTCCATGGGGCAAGTGAAGTAGAGTCTATCTGTTTCTGTGTACTCGGCATATGAAGAGATGTTATAGTTAGCACCATGCCAGCACCTTTACTTTCTCTATTGTGTGCTAGGTACCCATCACAGCTGGGTAGACTAAGTGGCTCTTACTATATTTTTAACCTGGATTCGAACTCGAGACTTTCCGGTTAGACGCTAGGCTACGAACAACGGCCATAAGGCTATCTAATGAAAAAATCTAAATACACAACACATTTTTTTTAAATGTAAAAATATATGAAGAACAAATCAACTGAAGTAAACTATTTTTTGACCAAAAATATTACACACAAATAAATCTGGTGAAAAAACTCCAGCCACGACACAACAAGTAGGAAAATAAACATCTGTGTATGTCATTTACCAAAACGCCTGGGAGTATAATGTATGCATTCGACAAAAATCAATAAAAAAATATGTAATCAAGGCATCAGACATACATACCAATGGACTGGGCTGAACAGATTGTTTGAAAAACTGCGACTAGGCAGATAACGAAACAAAATTGGATGAACATTTTAACTTGAATAACTGAATAATTCAATGACTGTAGAAATGGTTATTGATCTAGTAATTTCTCGAGCCAAATTTATAGGTAAAATCAGATCCGGATATTGCCTGCAACCCAAATTGTACCGGATATGCACTTAAAGGTTGACGTTTACTACATGCTATATATATTTTTGTAAGCAAATAAACGCCTGCCACGTGTGCATAATAAAAACGTGTTTTTTTTTTTATTGACAAAAAAGAAAAGTTATCAAGATGTACAAAATATGCACGTAAATGTTGACTTCTTTTTTTAATTTTTTTTACATCAATGTACCTTTTCGAACCTTATTGTACACGAGAGTCGACCTGTTTCAGTGAACTTGGCATATAAAGAGACAGTGTGGTAAGCACCATGCCCAGTCGCCTCTACTTTACATAACGTGAGTCAGGGATTCGAGCTCAAGACTTTTTGGTTAGCAGTCGAATGCTCCACCATACGACTACGCCACCTCATAAGAACATCAAGAATTTTTTTTTTTATTTATAGGAAAAAACATACAATCAAAAAAATGTTAAGTGATATTGTGTTTACACTTTTAGTTAAACAGGCAGGAAATGGTGGCTAAGTCAGATCAATGTTGAATATATATTAAGAGATGGGTATCAAATAAATGACTACTTTAAGAAAAAAGATTCTCTGTGGAGGTTAGGCATGGGGGGGGGGGGGGGGGTAAGCATTCGAGCATAACTCTAGGGGGTATATCTGTTTTGTTTGGTGGGGGTGTTGGACGTGGTTGGAGAAGTTTTTTGTATTGCCTCCCCCTCCCTTCTTCCCCCCCCCCCCCACTCCCGGATAGATGCCTGGAAGAAAAACTAGTATAGTTTCCTTTTATTTTATTTTCTTTATTTTCAAATTCTACTTACACATATCAACCTAGGAGCAGAAATATATTTTCACAATTTCTCCTGAATTACAGCACATACTTGAGAACTCCTGCAAAACAAAATACGGACATGGTCGGCTAGATTGATACGATAATTTTACATGTCGGCATGTTAAGATGAACTCGGTTTCCTCATCTGAACAAGGTTATCTCTCCTTAAATCAGCTGTCCTGTGTTTTACGTGTTTATTTATGTACAATGCCCACAGGTTATTTTTTTTCTGTTATTTTTATCCAGCAACTAAGAGCCACGTAAACCAGGATACTGTGTAGAACAATCTACAGGTGTGAGGGTCAGCGGGTTAAGACACGTCATCAGTTTGGATATGTTGAGATTGGAAGGATGAGGGAGGGGTTGGAGGCATTATGTTTTATGTAGAAACTGGTGTATGGGTGTGTGGCTGAAGCAGAGGCGTAGCGAAGGGGGGGGGGGCGGGGGGGGGGGCACATCTCCCCGGGCGCCAACCTTTGTGGGCGTCAAAATGGGTTGGAAAAATAAATTGAAAGTTGAGGGGATGCAAATCGAAAGTTTGACGGGAGGGGGGGGGGGTGAAAATCTAAATCTTGAGGGGGGTGCAAATAGAAAGTTTGTCCCCGGGCGTCGGGAAGTGTCGCTACGCCTCTGGGCTGGAGTTGTCTTTAGAGCGGTTAGGTCAAATCTTGATTTGTGTGATTAGAGGGGTGAGGTGGGTTGAGACTGGTGCGGTGGGGGTGGGTGGGTTGGCGTGCGACTGGTGCGGTGCGGGTGGATGGGTTGGTGGTGCGTGATTTTGTGAGAATAAGACTTAAGTAGCTCCGCTCAACAGCTCTCATCTTATTGGGCACATTGCTTGGTTGACAGATTCGATTGATTGAAGATGCTCAAGTCGGTTTGACTTTAGATGGTCTGTGTTATTCTTCACAGATTTACTCAATGTGAAGTTAATTAAACCAAATACTGTTTCAATAGTTGTAAACTTTTAGATAAAAGAATAATGGGACATTTACAGTGGTATAAGGAAAGAGCTTAGTAAATGGAAGATTCAAAGGTCCAATAAATACATATTTATTTATGCAAAGGTTTTCGATCTATAGTCTATTGATATTATTAAACTGTAGAAAAATAAACTAAAGAATTTTCAATGATAATATATTTATAACATAAATAGTAAATACGACATAAAAAAACATATGAGTTTTGCTTAAATTATTTATTTTTTAAAATTTTTAACAAATTTCTTAAACTTTGTTAATTATTACGCCCCTTATAATGTTCATAAATAAAGTTAAATCAGTTTTACGATTAAAACGTTCCAAAAGTTACAAAGCATATAAGTAAATCATTTTATTAATTAGGAAATTATAAAAAGACAAATGCACACATAGGCCTACATAAATTGATCTGTCGGAAAGGGGGGGGGGGTAATGACCAGATGTGGGTGGGTAGGGGTGGGTAACTTCTCACACCCAGGTAAAACATGTCACATTTCAGATACAAATTAAGATTTCGTCTTAGATATGTCCTTTTCTAATTTAGATTTTAATTAGTTAAAAAATGATGCAATTCTATTTTATTTTTGTATTAGATAAGGAGTTTGCTGTTTGTTTACAAGATTCCGTAACACAATTTCTTACATTATTTATAGTTTTTTTTTTCTTTTACGATAGAGTGGGGGAGGGGTTGGGGACATTATGTTATGTTTAAAAACTGGTGTGTGTATGTGTGTGGCTGAACTCGTCATTAGAATGGTTACTTTGTACTTTTCTCCTATTACGGTGAGAAAAGTTATAATACTCTTGAGTGATACTATACCGATATTTTATTCTTGCATACTCTTGTTTTGTATAGGGTTGTTGCCCACTCGAAGTGTGAAAGTAAGGACAAGGGTTTTCTGTTTTATGACTCTGATGCTTATTATATAAATTTGTGTAATGAACCGTGATATTGAGGCAGTAGCGTAGTGACCCTTCCCGGAGCCTGGGACAAACTTTCAATTTGGCGCCCCCCTCGCGAACAACCTTCCAATTTTTATTTGTACCCCCACTCCCCCCCCCCCCCTCTCAAACTTTCCATTTGCATCCGCCCCCCATATATTGTTTTATTTTTATAATGCAAAACTGCAGTTACAATAAGATTTTAATCTGTTTTTCCAACCCCATTTGGCGTCCCTTAAGGTCGGCGCCCGGGGACTCATGTACCCCCCCCCCCGCTACGCTTCTGTATTGAGGTTCGGCAGGTGATGTGTAAGTTAATTTAGATTAACGTGATGTTGCTGTTTGAGCTCTTTAATTTTTCTTAAAACATTTGGTAAAAAAAATATGGCCGATTCTAGTCGGAATAAGATACGCATGCGATACGCATGCGCAATGGAGAGAAACTACGACTTAGCGGCGATGTTTTTGGATGGTACTGCGCATGCGTGTGTTTACAACCGCAGAACCCTAATACCAACCCTAATCCTATCCTTAACCCTATCCCTAATCCTATCCCTAACCCTAACCCTAACCCTAGCCCTAATCATATCCCTAATCCTAGCCCTAATCCTATCCCTAACCCTATCCCTAATCCTACCCCTAACCCTCATTCTAGCCCTAACCCTAGCCATAGGTCACTGCGCATGCGCAGAACTATCTTTTGCCGAAAAATCTTATTCCGAGTAGACACTTCAATAATAAGTAACATTCAGGACATAAAGCAAAGTGGAGCAACAATCCGAAACAAAGTTTGCATAAATAATAACATTAAAATATAAACAAGACACAATAACCAGGCTACAAACCATTGTAAAATCAAAATTATATCAGCGCCATAATAGCGGACTACTTAACTAAAAACCACAACAATCCTAAAAGGAACACAAAAAGCGACATTCGCCTTCTTAGTTACAAATAATTATAATAACAGATAAACACACTCCAGCCGCTCACATACACGCCCCTTAAAGCTTGCGGTCACCGCAAGCTAAATAACTTGAAAAAAATCAGCCCACAGGGCATAATCATAAATGTTACAAAAATACAAAAACTTTGCACAATCACAATTTTGCAAAAGAACTTGCAAAAAAATCAGCCCGCAGGGCACAATCATACATTTTACAAAAAACAAAATTTTGCAAAAAAATCAGCCCACAGGGCACAATCATAAATGTTACAAAAAACAAAATTCTGCAAACAAATCAGACGATGTGGCTGTAGCAGCCGGCGGTACAACTTTGACCGGCCTTGGGGAGGGCGGTTGAGCCTTGGGAGGCACATATCTCCTAATCTGTGTACTGGCCACCCGGCGGGTGCCAGAAGGGCCATCTTTCTTTTTAATGGCGTAACCCCCGCCGGTGATCGGAGGTAATTCGACAACGACATAAACTGTCGGGCCGTCCAGGTCTGCCATTTTGCGTCTGCCAAGTGGGGGTTGTCTCAGAAGGACCAGGTCGCCTATGGCCAGTTCAGCTACAGGTGCCTTTTTGACCTGTTTGTCCTTCTTGCTTGACTCTGTCTGGGGGCATGCCCCAGCACCACCACCCGGTGCCTTAATTAAGGATGGGTTAGGTGGAACCATTGCCTCTAGTTCCTCAGATTGGTCCACCTTTACACTGGTTATGCTGGCGCGTAGGCAGGATGTTGGGCCTGATACCACTGACGGATCTGGGTGAAAAGGTTGGTCTAATGGCTGTACCACCTTGTCGTCCTTCATTCTGGAGTCTCCTTCCGTCGCCTGAATGGTTGGTACACCCTTGGCAGGCACCAGAGTCCTTTCGCGGGGGCGGAGGACCTTGTCCCCTCGCCATACCTTCGGTGTCACTTGATTCCCTTTGGGCACATATTTCTTTGCCCTATGGCAATGACGGGCGAGGTGACCCCTCTGGTGACAGTTAAAGCAGCCCTTTGATTGGACCTCCGTGCGCTTGCGAGATGCTTGGCGCACATTGGAAAATTTGGGGTCCCGCGTAAAGTGCTTCAGCAGAGCAGCAAGCTGCTCTGTGAGCCTGTTGACTTTGTCCTCCAGCTTGGACCTGAACGAACATTTTTCAATGGGCCTGGCATTTATTGCTGCCACGTAGGCAGGTTCAGCAAGAGGGTCCTCGTCTCCAGACCATCGAATGGCCGCATCACGTATGGCCAGGA